AGATAAAAGAGGAACAAGCGATAGATGCTTTCCTTTTCAGCAGGAGATGGCTGGCACAGCACAGGTTGCATGCAGGTGCTGCACAGCGTGGTATCAGTGCTGATAAGCTGAAGCTTTTGTGGAGGAGGAGGGCACAGGCTGAGGGAAGCAACTGAAGCTCTGTGAGCAATCGGCACTGAGAGCTGTGTGAGCACCCCATGGTGCGGGTGTAAATGCATTACAAAGAGTCAATGCTAAGCAGCAGAGCTATTATCAGCAATCATACATTTGATGGCTTAGAAAAAAACACTCAACAGAGTCTTTCAGCATTACACGATCTGCTGCATCTCCACAGCTCCTCACGCCCTTACACGGAACGCTGCATACAGGTGGTCACAGACACGGCCTCCCTGCCCCACACAGCAGGGCTGAGAGCTGCAGGGACATCTCCTGTTGCATGCCCAAGGGTGCCCACACCTGTGGCAACGCAGCAGATTGAAGGTGGTTCATTCACATCCCTTAAAAACAAAGCTCTGGCAGTGACAGTTTGGAGGCAAAATATTTGCTGAGGTGGAACAAACTGACACCAAAGCGCACCAGTGTTTTTCAGTGCTGGGAGCAATGGGAGCTGAGAGCGGCTTCCCCCGGAGCGCAGGCTGCCAAGGTCTGAGAGCAGAGCTGCTCTTTGCTGCAAGCTGAGCTGTACCTCAGAACAGCCTCTGACCGACCCTCACAGCCCTGCAGAGGTGCTCCAAACAAAGCTGTGCACATCCCTGGGCACAACCCCAGCCCCTCTGGGCAGTGTGGGCACCAGGAGCCACAGCCCCACATCCCACCCTGCAACCTCTTGGAGAGAACACAAACGAGAGCAGGTCTGTGTGCACCACTTAAGAACAGAGGTCTCACTTCCATTAAAACATGCGTTTAAAATTCTGTGAGTGGAGAAGTGTATAAAACCTACAGACCCAAAAACCCACCAAAGTGCCTTACCCACAATGAGCTGACCTCATTTTTAATTTTCCTTTTGCATCTGGAAAAGTTAGACCTCAAAAACCAAGCTTCAATATGCTGAGCAGCTCTTCTGTGGCCATCAGAAACAAATCACCAAGTTATTTAATTGGCTCAATTATCTTTAGCCATGCCACAAATAGCAAGTGACAAAGGCTTTGCTCCTGTACACATTGACTGGAAAACAGAGCAGGGCTGATGCTATTGTCTGCAGAAACAACACAGCAATTTATCAAAGACATCTCTCAAACTTTGTTGTAAAAGATCACAGAGTTTGTAGCACAACAGAAACAGAGCAAACGCAGCAACTCCACCGCCAGTGTCCACTGGTGCCAAAGCTCTGCTGCCTGCACAGAGCAGTGCCAGGCACGTTCCAGGCAGACCTTCTGCAGACCAACCTCTTCTTCACCATGTTCTGTGAAGCAGAAAACGTGAGCGTGTTCAGCCGGCTGGGATATTTTGAGCAGTGGATGAGGATAGGGAAAGGAATAAAAATAGCTTCATTATCATTGCCCTTGAAAGGCTGAAGGACACAAAGGCTTAAAGTTCTTCTGTAACCGAATGAAGAAAATTAAATCTTTCACTCCTCCACACTTGTATTTAAAATGCTTTGGGATTTTGTTGTTTGCCTGTTTATTTTCACTAAGCATTTTAAGGTCTGCTCGGCGAGCAACGCATTTCTCAGCAAAGCTCATTCTTTCACACTGCAGAGCCCAACTGGCTCTCCTGGCTCCCATGGAATGGGCACCTCCTCCCGTGCCCAAAGGAGCACACCTGCAGCAGACACTGCCTGGTTCCCTCTCCTCTCCCTCCCTCCCCTCTGCCCTCCAGTAAGTTTAAATGTAGCAATGAGTGCCTCCAGCCACAGGCTAGTTAACATCAATTCAGACCTGCTCCTTCCCCTTGTCCAGGCTGTTATTTGTGGTTCTGATCTGACCTGAATGATCAAGGGTTACACTTCACAAATGGTTGATCAGCCGTGGTACATCAAAACAGAGGGTCTTCCTTCCAAATGGATAACATCAAATATTCAGTCTAGGTATATCTGCTCCCTAAAATGCAGGTGAATCATTTTTATGGGAAAATAGTAGCATCACTTGCTGCTGCAAAACCAAGCTTTTGTTTGGAGCTGATCCAGGCAAAATAAATCTTTAGAACGGATGGATAAAATGCCAGCAGAGGTGCATTAAGAGCTGGGAACCAAGTGCTTCCAATTCTGGCATTTACAGGATTGTAGATGTAACCCAAGATCCTCAGGGTCTGGCCTTCGCTGTGCAAGCAGCTACACTTGGAGTTAAGCACTGTATGGACCACAGAGAAAAGAGGAAAGGCAGCTGACCTTTAAAGGTTTCTTCAAAAAGGCAAAGTAATTATTGTATCACCTAAAAGACATCATGCAAAAATATTTTCTTGACAGGTAGACCACCAGAATGTTTGAAATGCGCATTTTGTATTACTAGCTTATCTTTGATATGGTATGAATTTCCAGAGACCAGTGAATCATTACAGAGTGGTTTAATTAAAGTCTTCCACATCGATTGAAGTGCACGAAGCTCCATGTAACACAATATCTGTATTAGCAGAGTTACTGCAGTTTGACCTACTGTCTGTACAGAGTAGGTGGAACACAACCAAAAGGCACATTAGAACAACACAGCTCAATACATATTGGATTCCAAGCCCAGTCTGGTTCCATTCTCCCTCCAAGCAGCCTAACAAAACAAATTTAATTGGCTTAAAAACAAACACAGTGATTTATTCCAAAGGGGAAAAATTGAACAAATATAAACCACTTAGGACTGAACTCTCTCTTTCGCAAATATTTCTAAGTGTTTTTTCCCCCCCTCTAAGCACAATTTTTCGCTTCCTGCAGCACAACTATAACAACCAAGAGCTGATCAATATCACGTATGTACTGAGAGCTGATGGCCGTTAGGAAGCAGGGCATTTTGGAGCTCAGAATAACTCAGACTGTGCCCAGCTCGAGTTCCGCAGTCACACAGCACATCTCCTGACAGTGTTACAAAGGCAGCACTTCAGTGGGAAGACAGTCCTAACACACAGAAGGAATACAGGAACCAACACAGCAGTGCATTTCCCTAGGGTGCTTTGCACGCTGCTAACTGCTGCATTACTGCAGCCTGCATCGCACAGAGCACACGGCAGGGCAGCTGCAGCCGGGCTTCCTCACCAACAGCCGCACCTCAGCACACACAGCAGATCTTTTTTCTGACAGTTGATTGCGAGCAAACCTCACATGGGCCCTATTTTCAGGAAATATTCAATAAAAGGCTCATTGATTGGATAAACACGTGAGCTCACATCCACCCAAACAAAGAGAAGTGACCTACTTCCACTTCTATTTCAGGCCCAAGGAAAGATTGCACTGTTCCAGCACCGCTGTGTTGTGAGCTCAGTGCCAGCACAGCCCTGCTTCTCTTGGTTGTCTTGAATGCTTTCAGAGGTCACAGCTTTGAGCCCAGAAACAAACGTCATCACCCTGACTTTGTAACAGCTGAGGATGTCTCCCCCTTCCACTCCCCACCTCTCTCCCCAAAGAAGAGAGCATCCCCTGAGGCAAATCAGATCCATCCCAAGACTTCCAGTTACTGTCTGCATGGTTGCCATCATCTTAGTCTCAAAGCCATAGCAAAGGGCGACTCTTTTTCCTTCTCTTCAGAAGGTTACCCTCCAACTTTTTCTGAAGCCCAATTCTACCTAAAGTTAACTATTAACTCTATTTTGCAGTATGAGCAGACTGTCAGTACTGCTGCCAGGCCCAGCTAAGATGAAGGCTTAACTGTAAGTCAGTTTGCTGTTCTGCTGTTTCCTCTCCTTTGTTTTCAACCGTTTGTCCCCGTAAATCCTAACACAAGATTTTTTCTTCTTAGAGGCCGAGGCTGCAAATTAATCTGAAGATCTTAGTTACAATTAAAACAATTACTTTCAATCAGACTACTGTATTTAAGTCCCCTTGCTACTAATAGGTAAAGTAGCCACATCATACAGGAAATACTGACTGCATTCAGATCTGATCATTCTGATGCAACCTTCCCACCTTGGTTTCATGATCGTGCCCTCCAGGATCCCAAGCAGCAAAGCTCTTTGCCCAGCAGAACAACCAGGAGATGCGCAGGTGTGAGCAGAGCCACCTGGGACAGCCTGGAGCTGCCTGAACAGACAGACCACTTGGGGGTCAGTTTTCCAGACCATCCCCAGCTCCTTTGTTCACACCACTCAAAGGCCACTTGGTCTGTAAATCACCCCTACCTGCTCCACTAACACCTGGCAGCTCCAATCACTGAGCACAGCAGCAAACATTGTCACTGGGCTGCTGTTTGCAGGGATCAGCTGCACGGCGTGCTTTGGAACGAGCAGCACTTCCATTCTGAACCCTTTTAGGAATCATTTTCAAGAGGACTCCAAACATTCAAAGCACAGCAATGTAAGTGGGCACGAAGGCTGAGGTAATGAAGGATTGCTGCTCTCTTGGCACGCTGGGGAAGGATCACACTGGGCTTCCCTTAGAGGAATGTCCCTCTGCAAGGCAGCGTGCCACAGTGAGCACACAGGACTGGTGCACTGAGATGCGTACAGCATGCTTATTATGGCCTGGGAAGCACCTGCTGCAGGAAGCAGAACCAGGCTGATAAAACCCCATAAGAATGCAAACAAGCTCCTAAGCAATCTCACCATGAATTTCTAGCTCTATTGCAGCTGAGCTCAAGAACACAAGAAGACACATGGAGCAAACAGCTATTCCTATGCTGTATGCTGCCAAGTAAAAAATGCGCTTTGAATATGCAAGTGAGAAACATAAGATTTGTTTGGGCTTCCCCTGATAACACATTGAGCATCAGAACGTGCCAAGAAGACTAGACAGGAGGGCAAACAACCAGAAAGAGAGCCACCAAACTACAGATGTGTATCAGGAAAGGTGAGAGCAGAGAACCAGTCCTGAATTACCAACAAAGGCTGCTGGTCACCACCCAGTTCAACAAAGATTTGCTCACCTGTCCCAAGGCCTGGGGCTCACCAAACACTCCCCAAGGAGGGATCTCCAGATAGAAACCTTTCCCTTGGGGCAGCCAGCCCTTTAATGAGGGCAGGGAGGGCTGGAACCGGGTTTTTGGAATTGCTGCCACCTGTGCTCCCAGGGCTGCGTCCTTCCCCAGGTACTCAATTATTGCTTAGGGCAGTGACTCAGCAATTCCCCCTACAATATATAAGGAGACCTTTTCCCTGTTTGAATGTACTGATAGTGACAAAGATAACTGTAAGAGAGAAGACCTTCAGTTCTAGTCTGCAGGACAGGTTATGTACCTGTGTGTTGCTCCAAAACTGCCTACAGACCAATTCTGCTCTCTTACTAACACGAGTCGTATGTACACAGCAAGATTCCTTTACAATTGGGTTGTCGATACTTTCCGGGTGCTGAGAGAAGTACAGTTCAGTAGAGCACAGGCAGCTGTAGAGGCCCCGTGCTGGTGCTCAGGGACAGGCAGCCTCTCGGTGGACGCAGGACCTGACAGTCGGTGCCCGCACCCGCCCCCCTGCTGGGCGCACCAACGTGCTCTGCTGGTCGCTTTCCTTGAAACTGAATTCGGAGCCTTCTTTTTAATGTGTAGATTTAAAAAGTAGAAAAATATATCTGCAGCTTTCTTAATGCAGGTAATTCTCTTGCGGTTTTTGTATAAAATATTCTAGCACTGCTTAGAACTTCCCCAGGGGAATCTGCGGTGGCCCAGAGAACTGCAAGGGCTGTGAGGGTAGAAACAAATCGATGCGTGAAAACAAAGCAGAGAGAATTAAAATGGAAAAGGCTGACAGCCGAACCGTTCTGGATGAGCGAATACTGGAATTACTTGAACGGGTGAACGCTGTACAGCTGCATCTCTGCTCGAACGGGGGCCTCAGCGCGATCAGCTCTGAGCATCAGCGCCCGCAGCCCCGGGCAGCTGCCGCCGGGCGCCGGAGTGAGGAGCGGCGTGTGCTGCACCGCACGGCAACGGCCGGGCCCGGAACTCTGCCGCAGCCCGTTCCTCCCCCTCCTGTAACTAAGCCTGACAAGCCGGGGTCGGCACTGCTCTCCTCCACCGATAACAGCCGGCACCAGCGGAACGATCAGGAGACTCTGAGCCGAGCCGCACGGCGGGAGCGCAGGCACGGCTGTCCCGGAGCCCTTGCGGTGCGCCGCGGGCGCTCCCAGCAGAAGCCCAGCGCAGCGCTGCGGGGCGATGAGGGGACGAGGAGACGCCTCTGCTGGGGCCGCACCTCGGCACGGAGCGGCAACGACGCCGGGCAGAACGGCGGAGGCGGCCGCGGGGCTCCGGAAGGGACCGAAGGCTGCGGGCGGAGCACCCCGGCAGGACGGCCCTCCCCCAGCGCGGCGCAGCGCCGCTCCGCCCATACCGTCAGCCGCTGCCGCCGGGCCGCGAGCACCGAGTGCGGATTGGCCGCCGCGTGACACCGCCCGGCCCCGCTGCGTGGCTGCCGTCGCGCCCAGGGTGGCGTCGGAGCGGGCGGCGGAGCTGTGACGGACGGTGAGCGCCGGGCTCGGCCGGGGCGGGCAGGCTGTCGCGGCGGGGCCCGGGCTGTTGAGGCGGTGGGGTGGTGCGGCGGTGGGCGAAGCCCCGCGGCGGCGGCGGCGGGCGAGACGTGCGGGCTCCGCCCCGCTCCGGGGCCGTTCCCGGCCCTCCTGGGCGCCGCCGAGCCGCTCTTTGTGTCTGTGCGCTGCGGCTGGGGGCGGCTCGCCGCTCTCCGCGGCACCACCGGGCCCGGGCTGCGCGCTGCGGGCTGCCGGCCTGCCCTGCCGGGTGTGCGGCTGCGGGGCGGCCGGGGAAAGGGTAGCGCTTCGTGCCCAGCGGGGCCGCAGCCGGAGCGGCGCCGGGAGGTGTGCGCTGCGAGGAGCGGGAGGGCGGCGGGCCTTGACGGAGCGCTTAGAAAACCGGCGAGCGTCTGAAGAGCTACTTCGAATGTCTGCGTAATAAGGTTTAATCGGCAGACACAGCGCTGTTATGAGTTTTGTAGCGCGATGGGAACCGAGCGGCGGCACGCTGCGGGCTCCGGCCCCGCTCCGCGTCCGTGGGGCCGCACCGCCGTGCCGCGGAGCGCCTCCCGAGCCGGCACAGCTCCGGCAGCCCAGGGCCGCGTCCAGCTGTGGCCGTGTCCGGCTGCAGCACGCACAGCGCCCCGCACAGCACCCCGCTGCCGCGCTCAGCTTCTACGCGCTGAGGTCTCGTGCCTGCGGCTGGCAGCCCCGCGGCACTGCCCTGCTCTCTTCTGCGAAGCGTGAACTGCAGCGTAAAGCTTTAAAGGCGGCTCTTGGTTAAATGCCAGGCGGTATCACGCCTCCCGTGGAAGCTGCGCGCTGCTGTGAGGCGTCACTTCTGGATCCGGTACTGCTGAATGGGTTAATAACCTCTTCCCACACGAAGCTGGAGCAGAAGCTGGCACTGGGCAGGAAAAAGCTATTATTTCTGGAGCAATGGCGTAGCGCTGCTATTTTCACTGCTTGATTGCTAAGAATGCTGTAAGAACCAAGGCAGGCTACTTGCAATTCCCAGCAGTTAATCTGATGTATCTTACTAATGAGTAAATGTACTCAGATGTGTCTTACAGCAAGTGGGGTGGAAGAGAGACAGCTCCAGCAGCACCACCAAGTACACACACAGGTACACCAGGTGTTGCTGGCAGTTCTTTTGAAGACTGGCGATTTCTAACTTCTCATCACTTACAGTAGAAGTGACAGATGAAGTCAGTGCTGCTCCTGGTATGCGTGTGGGCATATCAGCTTGGTGGGCTTTAGAGAAGGTGAGAGAAAGCTAGCTGTAATCTGCTGTGGGGTCAGTTTAAGGCGATCTACAGAATGCAGCATTCCCCCAGATGAGAAATGGAAGACAATGCAAATTTCAGTCCATTGCTGGTGGAGCACGAGGCTGGAGTTCTGCATCTAGAACACAACACAGACACCAGGGCTCTCTGGAGATTCTTACTGGTGTAGTTAGTGTGCATGTGCCACCCCACAGACAGAATTAATAGCTTTTAGCAGGAAAGCTGTAGCTATTCACCTAAAAGCCCGAGAAACAGCAACAAGACTTAATGGTGACACTGAAGTTTGTGCTGGAATGCTGCATTTGCTTGAAACAAAGCAGCCAGCTGATAAAATGCTGCTGCCAGCCTGCTTGGTCCCTTTCACCAGGAGCTGGCAGTCTGTGCTGTTGTAGAGCTGGGCAGGGGCTTAACAGCTGGCTTAGGAAGGATGCTGGTGCCCGTCTTCTTGAGCATGAAGGAGAAGATATGCATGAAGAAAGAATGACTGCTACTGCATCTTCTGAGAGTGGAAGTAACTTGAGAAAGATGACCTCGAATTTTATCCATCACTTTCTTAAAAGATGAATGTCCATGCAGTCATTTTTCCAAAGGCATGTAGGCTAGTTTTCTCCTATAACTCCTGCATTAACTATAGTGCGGTGCAAAACTAGCAGGGATTTCCTGGGTAGAAGTGAGCTGCTTGATGCAACCCAATTTTCCTGGCAGTATTAATGAGACCAGATCTATGCATAGAGAAAGGAAACTTGCTGGGTGATACATCCAGAGGAAGCTGTGTCCCTCTGTGTCCCAGAACCGAAAATATTCAGAAGATCTGAGTCTTCTGATGAAACTAAAAAGCAGGCAACTTGAAAAGTGCAGATTTGTGGATTTGGCAAAGGAAAAACTTTCGGAGGGGTCTGTCAGTGGTCACGTATACTCCAGATTGGACTATGAGTTGCTTAATGAAGTTGAATTGGTATCATGCATCCTGTAGGTCCTAGTTTTCCACCTCATGACACCTTGTACTTTGCCACACCAAAGCACAGGAGAACCTCAAAGACAAGTCCTGCAAGCTTCTGTTCTTATCTTCAACTATCGACACCTCTGTTGTATTAAGGGAGCTCTTCTGGTTCGTTGGTGAAAATGAACTCCATAAGAGCCACCCTGAGTCACCCTCAGCTGTTCATCCTGTATTGAATAAGCAGAGTTCGTAACACTGCGAAACAAAGATGACAAATCGTACACCTGTCTGGTTGCAGTGGGCACAGCTCTGCTGCTGATGGTATGTGGTACACTTACTTTTATCGTTTGTTTTTAATTGGGGAAAACTGGGTCTGCCAGATTTGTTGCATACCTGGCACAATTCAACAGCAAGCTGCTGGCTGCTCTGCCTTCAGGGCTGGGAACATAACCAATCTAAACCCTACCTTGCCTCTACAGTTTGGAAGCCACTAAGGGAAGAGCAGAAGCTTGTAATAATAATCTTCCCCTTAATGTTTTATTGGAGTCTTCAGTAACTCTGGCTTCTCATGAAAAGTGCACGAGAAGCATTATTTTTCTTCAGCTCAGTGAACAACCAATTAATCACCATGTAGTCAAGCCTTCTCAGTAGACCAATGTTACGGATGGGCTTCCAGCAAACTATTAGTGTTACAACTTTTTTTGCAAGTGTTACCAATCCTGGAACCCATAGAGCATAAGGAAGATAGTGTATATCAGATCTACAAGTGCTAGATTTCTGGCTGTCAGATGTGCCACTTCTGCAAGATTGCTTTAAGCATGCTAAAGGAAGCTGACTTACTACCTTGTCATGGACTTGACAACTCCACTATGATTTAATATTTGTACTGAAGAGTCGTAAGTCTCTCCACACAGAACTGTGTAGCTTCCATTACTGGAGGAAAAAACAACTTTGCTATGCAAATGTAGGTGTAGCCTTGATGTGGTCAGCTTGCTCAACTGTGCCTAATGACTTCAGTGTCTCTAAAAAGCTTGCTTAACTTGGGTTACAATTGAAATTTGTTAATGGACTGTCATGTCTCAGAGTTACTTCATCCTAAGGTACATCTGCATCTCAAGCTCTCAGTAAAAACTGTTACTCCTTAGCAGTTTGATGTTATCCATCTTGGAAGCAGGTCAAGAGCTGAAATAAGTCTAGCTTTCATTTGCATTAGTTTGCTATGAAAACTTCTAAATTCAAAGGCAGTTTGTGAAGAAATACCTTAAAACGAATATGGGCACATTCAGCACTTCAAGATTCTCGTGCAGGAGACTTGTGTGAGTCACACAGAGAGCGCCAACCGCAGATATTCCTGAAGATACGGAACTGCACAGCCTCATTAAATGTCTGTTTTTCCCCTGCAGGAGTCTGAAAATACAGTGAAGCCTGACGGTGCAGACAGAAGAGTCTTCAAGAAGCTGGACAATCTGAAATACTGACCATGTCTATTATGGATCACAGCCCCACCACGGGAGTGGTGACAGTTATCGTTATTCTGATTGCTATCGCAGCTCTTGGCGCCTTGATTCTGGGCTGCTGGTGTTACCTGCGGCTGCAGAGGATCAGCCAGTCTGAAGATGAAGAAAGCATCGTGGGCGAAGGAGAAACCAAAGAGCCCTTTCTCCTGGTGCAGTACTCTGCTAAAGGACCCTGCGTAGAGAGGAAAGCCAAGCTAACTCCAAATGGCACAGATGTGCATAGCTAACTTGGAGCGACACGTGGACTGTGGCTATGATGTGTGTAACCAGCAGAATCTATACTGTGAAGAACTTGTTCACATGCACACTATGCATCAGAACACCTCCATGAGACTTTTAAGCATTGTCTGCAACTGCACACACAGAGAAGTTGCTCTCTGCATCAACTGTAGATCCTAATTCCTCCGCAGGAGGAGGACTCACAGGACACAGGAGCTGACTCGTCTGGCATAAAGTCCATTGCTGGCAATGGATGCAAAGATATCTTGGTGCAAAGAGACTAACAGCATTTTTTTGTTACTTGAATGTGCATCTGAGCCTATTTTGATGGAACCACTACTGTACTGTGAACTACTTTACAACTGTGAACTGTAAATAGGCTGCCAGAAGCTTTATGCTTTGCATTCACAGCATATGAGAATAGCATGACGCAACTGCACATAACACGAGGGGACACTGAACCACAGCTGTCGATGGGAATCCCGATTTTCAAACCAGACACGTGGTTAAAGCTTGCTTCTGCTGTTAACTTCTGAGTGCACAGCCAAAAGGTCAAAACAGCACCGGCTTACTGGACTGGTGTAGAATACTTTCTTTAAAAAGGTGTAAGCCTACAATAATATGCTGAGGGAAGAAACACAGGAGCTTCACGAAAGGAAATAACTTCCTTTAGTTACAGCTAGCATTGGTTAAGCATCTGGCTGCTAGAGCAGATTTTGCTAATCACATGGCAACTGCAAGGAAACTGCCATTTTGATGGATTCTGACCTGGGAACTAATGATGGTCACCAAACCCTCGGGGTGGTCCAGAAGGTTTCCAGCGGTGTGAAGTGGCAGTAGAGCAGGCTTTTTCTCTTCTGTGTTTCTGCATGCTGAAACAGCAGAAGTTTTTACCTATTAAAACTGGCATAAATGCAACTAATGAATTTTTCCTAGGACCTCGTGTAATTAGCAGCTTGGGTATATGTAATCAAGATATTAATAGCCTGTTGTAAAAAGGCATTTTAGACTAAGACAGTCAGGTATAGAATTCAGTTCCTGTATCTTGTAAATGACTCTCGGTTTAACTCCACAAGATACATTTCAGCCTCTTCTATGAGAAATAATGCTGACAGGGTGAAAGATTTCTGGTTTGTTTGCAGCCTTCAAGCTAGCAACTGAAAATACTTCCAAGTAAGGAGATCTTTTTATTTTCTGCTCTATACTATAGTTCAGCTACTGAAACTGCAACAAGATGTGTCAAATAGGGGGTTCTAACCTCAAATACTTGGGAGAGGGACAGAGCTAAGCAACCAAGACCTGCTTTTGCCTACCCTAGAACTATAAGGCGCTCTCAAGCATCTTTGTGCCTAATTTCAATTTCAAACACTTAACTGCATAGGATAAAAATTTACTGTAACAATTTGTTTCTTGAAATATACTACAAATAATCAAATCCAACTTTTGTTTTTCTAGCTGACCAGGAAGTGATTGCTGCTGCTTGTCCCTGTACATATGAAATAACTAAGTAACACTGGCTTAGCAAAATGATAATGGCATTGTCATAGTTAATAAAGTCTTGTCCCTTCCTTCCAGAGTAAGACATTGTATTGTATTTTTAGTGCTACGTTTGGTTTCTTTCATTGAAGGCTAGAATTTGAAGCAGAAAAGAATACTGGCAGTAGGGAAAAGCTCCTGCAGTTGCTTTTAGAATACAGCTGACAGAGCTGTCCTTGCCCTGGCACATGCTTCTTAAGATGTCAGTGGCAGGAGACTGGCATACATGCAGCCAGACCCATACACCTAGACCTGTGTATTATAGAAATCCTAGAAATTAAGGAGAAAAGGATTAATTCAGTAAGATTTTTCTTTAGTTTTGTTTCACTAGATAACAGTTCACACATGGCTCTTGCAGATTTCAAGACAGTCAGGTAACTGGTATACAAAAGTGATACAAAGTGCTGAAGTTCTTGAATAAAGTATTTTGTCCATTCAAGTTCACTGATCACAGAGATGAAGTATTTCATTTTAATTCTGCAAACAATGCAATGAAAAGGGCAAATTTCAGAAGTTTATGGAGAAGTGTACATTAAAGGTCTAGCTTTTCTTCTAGCAGCTGTTACAGAGAAAGCTGGTGTAAAAATAATTGGTCCTTAGAGATGCTTTATGCTGCTGCCCCTAAACATCAGCATCTTAAATTTTAAATGGATAGGTGTTTGCAAGTTAGTGCAATAGTAAAGTGCAGAAAGTTTTCCATACTCCTTCTCTTCACTTTAGAATGGGGTACCTAATAAGTTGTTCAAGTATACAAAAATATTCCATTTGATTTTCTTTTTCTAGATCATGTGGGAGAAGTCTTTATTTACAGTGGATTTCAATAAAATTTGCATAAATACCTACTCAGTACGGCATCATGACTTTGTGCAAGCAATCATTCTGTCCTGTTTTCACTACTCTGTTCTGTCGCTACGGCATCAACACGATCAATCCTTTTCTCCTCTGTGCTGAGAGCTGCTGAAACCAATACACTGCTGTCATCAGCCACTGTTTGCTCTGACTGAAGGGCTTCTTTAGGTTCGTCTTTGCTCTGTAGCTTTCCTTCCCTCGATGCCACCAGGATTCTCAGTAATGTATTCTCCTTAAGGAGGTTTTCTGATGCGTCAGCCAGCTCCTGAAGCTTTTCGGCCATTTCTAGCAATTCCCGATTCTTCTGATCGTACGTTGCCTGCAACTGCTGGCTGTGGAGCTGCAGAGTCTTGTGCTGCTTTTCCAGTGTGTGCTTCTGCTGCTGTAGTCGATGTTCTTCTCTTCTAGCTTCAGAAAGCTGTGCCTCAAGGGATTCATGGGCTTGATGCAGGGCCCTGATTTCTGACCTTAACTTCTGAATTTCTTGCTCCAAGTGGGAGATGTGTCCTTGCTGTAAAACTGTCTCTTTATGGAGGCATTCTTTGGTGCAGGGCTCTGATGAAGAAAGACTCGAGTGATGTAAAATAAATTTAAGAAGATGAGGAAGGCTAACTGGAAAGTCTTCTGGGAACTTCACACTTTGATCCTTCCTGGAAGGACATACCAAGTTAGTGTCAAGGCATAAAGCTACAGAAGCAGTGATAAGTATCTGCTGCCCAACTCAAAATTGGTATCTTGGCTAATTACACAGTTAATAGAAACCTAAACTTGTATAATGAAGATACAGCACAGGCTATTTCTATTTCATAAACTGTTTCACCTGTATTCCACAAAGATAAGATGCTTTAATGAATAATTCAAGAACTTGGGGCAGATAAGGTTTGTGTTCATCAAAATTAAGCTATTTTTGGCAGACTAGGCAATGTGTTTTTTCTTCTCCTGCAGTCCTGGTGATCAGCCAAGTTAATTCTGTAATTAGCAGCAGCAGTTTCTCAGTTGACAAGCAGCTTACATCCAAACTTAATGATTCATGACATTTTGGAAAAAATAGCCTACACTAAGCCAAAATTGACTCATTACACAACAGTAATGTTTTACTATGTCATTATCCTTTTTAAAAATTATTATTATTATTATTATTTTCATCAAAACCATAGCATACATCAGAAAAGCTGAAAGGCTCTTTGCAGTGAAAACCAAACCAAAGCAGCAGCAGTGTGAGGAAGAAAACACTGAGCAGACCGGGTAACCTGCAAAAACAGTCCCATGGCAAATGCACAGAGAGCTGTGCAAAGCCTTCACAGAAAGCACCTTTACATCTAAAACAGCAACAACAATCTAGTGCTACTACACATACTGTCAAAGCCTGATTTCATTTATTACCTACATGTAGCAAAACTAAAACATGCTAGAAAGGAAAAGTGGGAAAGAAATCTGCAGATACAGTTCCAGTGCTAAACTACTTAAGAAACCACGTTTGTGAATGTTACAAACCCAATCTCACTAAAAACTATGAAGTTAGCCTAGAGATGGTTGGTAAAACAGGCCAAGACAAAACAAGCATCTGTGAAAAAACAAGAAACACGGGACTACATAGTAACACCACACAGACAGGTACCAGAGGAAGCCCCACCTACCACAAGTGGTTTTACTGCTCCTAGCCCTGCTTTGCCAGTGCTTTAACGTAATCCAAAGACCTTTTTTGCCATTTCATACTTGAGACACACGCTGTCACTATACTGAGACGCACGGATCACAGAGTTATTGTAGCTTAGTGAAGGAAAAAACAAAACACACGAGGGGAAAGAACTGCATTACCTCTGCTGAGGAAAAAATAAAATGGTCGGGAGCCGATCTGTCATAAATTCCCAAGGAAGATCATTTTGAGTGGTATCAATTCTGTTAAGAAAACATGCACACAAAAAGTCATTGGAGGGATTACAAAAAGGGAAAATGCAAATTTTTTTCCCCCTAAAGTTCTACATAGAAAGGAACATGAGTTTAATTAATGAAACGACTGTTCAATTGCTTGCTATGGCTTTATTTTGCTTTCTTCAGTCATTTCTGATTATAAATTGTTACAATTCTATTAGAAAGAAAAGAAAAAAAAACAACCAACAGATAACCACACAGTGGGTTTCAGCACCACTGAAACAAAAATAACAGACCAAATGATAGAACTTCAACGTCAGGAAAGAGAATGGGTGTAGATCTGAGAGCAGCATTTTACCTAGGGCAAAAAAGCAGCAATTATAAACAAGTGCTAGCTGTAGCTTTTAATTTTTCGCCCATATATCTCCTGCTGCTCCTTAAGGAAATTCAGTCAGAATGAAATAAGGACACAATGAGAACAGAGATGCAAGCAATCATGTATTTGAGAATACATCAATAAGAATGTTTCGGTTGCACTGAAACCCTGACCATGTTGAAGAACTGTCAGACAACACACGTATCGTACACACGTTGTATAAATGCGTACCTATGTCTCTCAATTCCTAAAATACAACACTGTACGATTCAATTCTTCATTCAAATGATCAGAGAAAGTTAAAAATGCCTTTCTGCTGCCACCTGCTGTACTGGTTCCCTTTCCAAAATGTGCTCCAAGAATAATTTGAAAATTCATTTTAACTGAACTGCAGAAACGCTGCAGTGAGATTGAAAAGAATCAAATTTAGGCAGAGGAAAGAAAGATAATGGATTCAAAGAAAAATGAAACAGATGACATTCACATCAACTACTGCGAGACTGTAGAGAGAAAAAAAAGTAATTATTCTCTAGGCCAATTATCTCAATGAACTTGCATTATTCTAGAGAGATTAAATTAGAATCTTTTTTACCTTGCCACAGTGAAATGATCTGGAGGCAAAAGCCGAGCCAGCTGAATAAAGATATGATTAAGAGAAGCACAGAATCCACACCACTGTGCATAATAGAGCAGCAAGACATTCTGTAAAATGAAATGAAGAGTCTTATTATCTACTGTAATTGATCTGCACTAAAGAAGGGCTAGTCTTCACAAAACCTCAATTATTTAGCACTCTTAACATATGAAAATACACTGCATGCTAACGTTGACACGCTTTATTACAAGCTATTTTCTGATGCCTTCTGTCTCTCAGGTTAACACAGGCATTCCTGGGGAATCTCCTCTCCGTAAAGAGAAAACACAGAGAATTATTTAGTTCTCGTTAAATAAAAATGCGTCAAGCTTTCTTACACTTCTTAGGATTCTTCTGCAGCCTTGAACTCCTACATGTCTAACAGTGACTGTACACCCCAGGAGGTGGTGCTGGGGAAGATGTCTGCCCTCCTGCTTTGGGCCTTTGGCTAGCAAAGGGCAGCTGGGATGCTGAAGCCAAGCACTGCACGTGTACCCACCTGCTGCAGCCCCACAGCCAACAGACACTAATCCTGAGTACTTCTTAAAAAGAATAAAAAGTGATTTAACTGCTCTTCAAGATCACCTCATACATAAAACAATTTCATGGCATGCAAATAGACAGCTTGTGCCTTTGAGATTTCTGTGTGCCAAATCCTATCTTCGGTTTAAAACTTCTGTCAGCTTTACAAGTGCTTTTTTTTAAGTTTAAAAACAACAATTAATACATAGAAAACAAAAGGTACTTATGTCCTTTAAGTTATGAAAGGCAGACATCACAACGCCCGGCAGCATTACCTCAAATTCCACGTGTGCAGCATGTGCTGCTGCAGAGGAAGGAGGGAAATGGGGCTGCAGATTGCAGGCAGAGTCAAGGACTTCTTTCCATCTCAAAAGCACAGGTAAAGTAAAAGGAATGGAACTTTAAACGATGGTAGAAAGCTGCTATGCAGGAATCCGCAGCATGGACTTTTTCATTCTTTTACCAGGAAAAAGGCACTTTGGAGATTCACTTAAAGTTACACTAAACTTGATTGCTTTTTTTTTTTTAAGAAACAAATATTCTGGCGTTCTGAATAAAGACTGTTGTATTTTACAAAGAAGCAACGCAGGTGGCTAAAAAAAGAATGAGAATCCTTCCTCAGAAGGTGAGCAACGACTTGCAGAAGCTTTTTCCTACAGCAAGGAGTACCTTTTCACTTGAAAACACAATGTGATGGAAGGTGCTGGTGGTCACTTCAGCCACGACGCGCTCTGCAGGGACACGGACTGAGGTGCCATCCACGAGATGCCTCTTCAAGGGACTGTAGAGAATGCTGAAATTCTTTATGAAGCTCTCTGAAACAAAAATGATACATAAACTTACGTCTGGATTTTGGCAGGCTGCATTTTGCCATTCCCAGATGAAACTAAAACCGACACATCGTACACAGGCAGAAAACAGCAGATCAACAAGTCTGCCTCTGACATACCAAGAGCAGTACTTCATTTCGTATTTGCTGCTCAACATTCATGAAATTCTCACAGCAGATAACAATATTGTTATTTTCCTTCCATATCTCCAGGTTTTGAGTACTTATGTATTATTAAGTAATAACTGAATAGGAAGGAATAATTAAAAATACTCTGCCTACTCCTGTATGTTTAAGAACCATCCGTAAAAACTGAAATCTGTTGAAGATATTAAACACAAACCTGTTCCATTAATTTAAAATATCAGAAGTTAGGCCAACTATAGGAATACAACAAAATAAATAATAAAATAGAAAGAAAATCACAGTGACTCTGACAATATATGTAGAAAAAAACATTTCTGGAAGCTCAAGTAACTCAGACAATGTAACTCAGCACAGCAACTCTCATCCCACTTAGGAAATCCTGTGAACAGAAAATATTTTAACACAGAAAGCACTGAGAGCACAAACAGGAAGAAAATTTATTATCTTCTCACCCAGATCTTTATTACCCCCTGAGCATCCATGTGTGGTCAACAATTTTTGTTTTTAGCATCATTTTTTCTTTCCAGAGTGTTCTGTGGGGCAGGGAGATGCAGAGGGGATGGAGGGCAGGTGGGAGCTGGAACTTCAACACAGCTCTTTGCCCTCCAGTTGTGCCTACTTACTTGTGCAACTTAAACACCTATGGCAAACTGCAAATACAAGGTAATGATGTAGCACCTACACTGATTAAACCTTCTGGAACAATTTACTTTGATACTGTGTTCACTAGAATTTACTTCCATATCTGCAGACTCTGCTAACATTAAAAGACTCTGCATTTTCCCCAGGCTGACTGAGCACACTGTCAGGGCAAGCAAATGCACTCCAGCAGGCAGCTCACAGCCTGCTCCAGGAACTGCAGTAAGCCAGAGCAGTGATTGTTGTCATCTCCCCCTGAAGACAATTGGCTTTTTTCTTCCCCCTGGCAATTTAGTATTGCCAGATCAGATCAGAAGCAATTCAAAGTTCTATACGAAAAATACATGTACCTTTAAAGAAAAAAAAAGTAAAACAATGTATAGATCAGAGGACAAAGGAAGGACTGGTCTGCACTGGTAAGGGAGCAGTATCTCGTGGAATGCTGGCAGCTTTTAGTATGTGGAAACAGCTGAATACCAGCAGTACCATTAATACACAAATGTGTTTTATAGTATCACATTTGTTAGAGGTTCAGCGTTACTTTTTTTTCCACAAGCAAATCAGTTTTTACCACTTCCTTCAATGTTACCACACAGTCACCATTTGCACACTCCAATGTTCACTTCACTTAAAGCAAATCATTTTATTGTGTGCATTTTGGTTCTCATGCCATTTAGAAAAATATTCTACTAGTCAGTTAGCTACTAAATACATTAAATAGAATAAATTAAGGCTCACGATGGTGACCACAGTCTCACTTTTCAGAACAGTGTGAAGTTTTCCATTCATAAGTTTACTTGCAAACCTGTTTTTATTATTTAAAGCATTTCTATAGCAGACAGCATACCCAGGGTAGATCCTGTAAGCGACTGATTCTGATCAAGGACATAATGCAGCTCTTCTTTCAGGTCAACAATGGCAGCAAATTCCTTACGATGAGTCGATCTTGATGCTCCTAGTCTCTCTGCATATATCCAAAAAAGATTTGAATCCAGCAGATAGAGGTTCAAGGTTTTGTTGGTCCTGCAGCTCAGACCAGTAATGTTAGTGCCAGCAATATGAAGGTCAGGAATAAAGCAGTTCCTATCCTCAATATGAGGAATAGAATTCTGGATGTCAGCATTATCTTTCTTCCCATGGGAAGAAAATGCAACTTTAGGGGTCTGAAAGATGGTCTTCTCAGAACTAATGAAACTTAAAAAATGTCTATCGACCGTTCTGCAACATGCAGTGTAATAGCTAAAGGGACTGTAGAAACTTAGGAAATTGCTGCATTCAATGCTACTCGAAACAACTTGAAAAAAGGTGTGTTCCTGGAGGTAGAAAGAGTCCAAAGCTGTTTCTATCTCAAAGAAGTTACAGCGTGGCACACTGACTTTATCTGGTTTGACACCAAGCGTCTGATTAATGCACAGCTCACACACGTTGTGAGTTCTGGATATCGAGTGCCACTGCGGAAGCACCACTGTGTTACAGCATGGGTACTTGGTTATCAAAAACGTGTCTGCCAATTTCATATGTGCATCTGGATCAGAGGAATCAGAAGCTGGTGAATCACTGTTCCCTAAGTGCTGAAGCTCTGGTTCAGCTCCCTGGCTTTTGTTACAGCTGTGGTATTCCAAGGCCACTTTGGTAATCTACAAGGAAAAGAGAAAAGCAAAGTGAGATTAACTGCACGTAGTTCACTCAAAAGCAGTTATCTCTTGCAGGTTTAACAACCTCTGCAACTTTTGATGGAATTTTACAAAGTTTACCACTCTTCTATATCCTTAGGAAAGAATTACAGGAAGCTGCTGTGACTTTGTAACAAAGCTCAGCATCTCAGTCTACAAGAATTAAATACAAAAATACTGTTTAAATCACTTTCATTCCACGACACTGATCTCAAGGTCCTCTCTGTACTCTGTTTATCACAGTTCAGTAACACAATGGTTGAAGAAGAAAAGAGCAGACTTCCCTTCCATCTCACCTTTAAGATGAAGGTGTTTCACTTACTTCGTCTAACAGAGGCTGAATTTCTGCCAAGGGGTCGTAAGGTACAAACACGAGAAGCGCCGGCCCTTTCTTCAGCTCGTTGCTCAGAAGAAGGCTTTTTCCCCCATGTGGTCTCAGCCAGCGGATGAGCAGCTCTCGATTTTCCAGAGCCCACTTGCACACATTCTCAGCTGTATAGTTCATGGTGTCATTTGGATAGATCTCGAGAAGGGAAACAACAATTGTTTGCTCTCACTTACTAAAACATACTGCTCACTATTGAACGCAGTTCCCAACTACAGTGTGCTTTGTTACAGTAATGCCTGAAACACATTTTTAATTTAGCAAAACTATTCAGAGAGCTTCAGAACTTCGTACCTCCATCCCCCTCTCATGAGATCACGTCAAGATTCAGTCTTCCAGGCAGCAAGTCTTCTGCCAGGCAAGCTCCTTTTTCTTTCATCACATCACTATGATCTTTACTGTTTGCAGTCAAGGCTTTATAAAGAGTGCCATTTCTAAGTTGACATCATCACGTGTTTTGATTTATAGCATACTAGAGCAGTTTTTTCCACTACTAATTAAACATATTAACTCACCTTACGTCAATATTTTAAGAACCCAATAACCAGACTGCATTTAAAATGGCTATACTGTTTTTTAGTACTGAAAGTACAGAAGAAAATTGTTGAAAATTGGCTTACAGCTTCTAGGATCATTTTCATGAATTAAGGTAAGTTTATCCTGAATCACTGCAAAGACAACAGCAGTCTCATGCATTTACCAATGCTTTTTAGAAAAAAGCCATGTTCTCCCTAATGTCAGTTGAATAAAATACTGCATGGAAGCTTATCTTCAGAGCTTCCACTCACGCTAGCAGTGTGGACAGATAAGGACTCCATACACAATAACAATTCCAAAAGTATTTTCAGTTATATTTCCCATATTATTAAAAAGACTTTCCCAGATTGTTAAGATGAACCCGAGGGCCTCTGAAAACTTAAGTCAATCTACTACAGAAGGCCAAATACGCTGTGAACACAAAGCCCACTGTCACACACTTCAGAGTAGTAGGACAAGAGCTGAGCTGAAGTATCTATATACCTTCATATGCTGAAAGTCCAGGTATTAAGGTCTTTAAAGTAATTCTCAGATAAATACAGGCTTTACAGACAGTCAAGAAAATAATTCAATTTCCTTCACGGATGGATGAGCTATGACTGCATGCATTTCAGCAGTGCTGGTGCAGCTTCACATTGCTGTGCTCTGGCACTCATTTCCCTACACATGCAAGGGAAAAAGCCAACAAGCAGAAGTGTATACCTTTGACTCTTGCAAAAACCAGTCACGTAATTGAGTCTGATACTTGTCCTGAGGCCCTATCGGCCACCTGGTCTAGACACTGCTTAAAGTTTAAATCATTTAGAGCAGCTGCTGACTAGCAGAAAGAAAACGTGTATTACCATACAAAAATGTACTACTTAGATGCTCCTTGTTCTACTGCTTTGTGGAACACTCCTTTATTACATATTTGTCCACATGATGTTTGCACTGCAGCACAGTTGTCTCAGTCACCACAACACCAATACGATACTCACAAGAGATGTGTTGATGTGTCTGTGCAAATACACACTGCCCGAATGCACCAACGAGATCTCCTCCGCAACAAGCTTATCTGTGACCACTCCGAAGCGCACTGTTCCCAGGTAATCTTAAAGGGCAAATGTTCAGTTTTAAATAGAATTCTACACTGAACTTCTCTCCTGAGAGCCTTAGAAGAATACACATCTTATTTTTAAAATGCAACAACACTGGAACTGAAGACACTCTGGAATTCAACGCGGTCAAATGCTGTCTGCCTCCAGCTATGGATGCACTGCAGCTACACTTGAGGGATTTTGAGAAAAGTGCCCCTTTGTGTATCACTGAGAGCAGCTGCCCTGTACTGGAATTCCACGATGGCTGACCCCAAAACATACCATAAACCTTCCACGTAAGCAAACTTTGCACAGTAATTAAATATAGTCTCATAATTAGATGAACCTTAATATACACTCAAAAGGGATCCACTTTCAAATTACAAAATGTTGCAAAGAATTACTGAAGTCCATACAAGTACGTTGTTCAGACACCCCTGAAATTTTGAAGATGAATTTTACCTTTCTTTAATGAATGTAAAGCTGACGTAAAGAAGGTTAAATAACCGGGAGGCTGCGGTGAAGCGTTGAACTCAAAATATCCCACAACTCCAGGCTGAAAGAGTAAGAATTACAGTTAGCTGAGCGATTTGCAACTACGTGGGAGATGAAAGCTGTTTGCCTACACTAAAATGTAACATTTTAAAAGACAACAAAACAGCGTTTGCTGAAGAACAGTCACTTAATGCTGTCAGAAAAGAATTAGTATTAAAAGACTGATCAGGAATCAGTTCTAAAGCTGTCATTTGACAGCTACATAAAATGCAAGGATGCTTTTAGGACTGCAGAGGCATGACTAAAAATTAATATCCCTAGAAATTATCAGTCAGTTCCAACCGTATAATAAAAATCATAAGTGTTATGAGACTTCTTCAGAATGAGAATATCTAGTATAATTTTTCAGACTACATTCTAATCATTTACTACGTTGCACATAATCAGCAACTGTGTGTGCATCACACATCCGGTGAGTCAGTACTGGAACTGCTAAGCCCACAGCCTCCCCATGTTAAAGCTACAGCCACTGCAAGTTCTTTCGCTGTGTCACTTAAGGCTCCGTGTGAGACCAGCTGCACCAGAACAAAGAAACAAAAACAAATAAGAAAAGATCTTCAATTGCTGATCAGACAACGTGAAATGTTAAAGACTCATCCATAGGCAGGGCTGCTGGCAAGGCCACGAGCACAGCTGGGAGCTGCCTGCAGGCTGCTGCTCCGAAACATCACCTACGTTTTGAGTTTAAATTTTGCAGAATACAATTCATTTTAAATCATAATTATTAATCACTGCCTTTCTATTCACCATTCCAATTGGTTTAGCAGGCCTTCAGGACAAAAAAAGCGATGGAATTCGGTCATTCTGTGCTGTTTCCCAGTTCCACCATCCCGGTGCATGCACCAAATGCACAAAACAAGAGCACAGGGATCGCTGTGGGACAAAAGATTCCAGCCTCACCGACCGTCCCGGGTGAGGCAAATACCTCCCCAACGAGATACCTTCATTTGGTATTTCAAAGGATGCTTTTATTATTTCAGCTTTACATATAAAAAATGAGTATAGTTTCAAAACATGAATATGTGATTTGCCTATTGTTGATATTAGTGAAAATATCTCAGAATGTTTCACTGATAAGATGGTTCCCCATTCCAACCAGTGAGCTGTTCATCCAGGCAGGAATTATCCTGCCTGACACTGAATGCTACCCACAAGAGCCTTCCTCTTAAAGATTTTTAATGAAACACTCCAAGAAATTACCAACAATAAAAGTGACAATAACAGTTGTCAAAAAGAAAATAATAACATAAACAAAGAAGTGAAAATATACGGAAATGTAATAGCATTTGTTCTTCAAAGAAGGATAACAGCACAAAAAAAGACAGTCATTGCTTCTCTTCATTTTCCCTTCCTAACACCAAATTAAGAAAGTAACAAACCAGCCAAGTAAACCCAGCAAGGAGACACACACAGCTCCTTACACGGCTTCTCATTTCTGGCACCATTTCTAAATACCATCACTGGCACGAAACAGCAACTGAAAGCAAGAAGTGACAGCAGAAGTACCAAGAAGCCGAAGGGCAGACCTAGAAAGCAGTTCAAAGCCACTGAGCAGACGAGGCCCTGACTGCTGTTACCCATCAGCTGTGCCTACAGATCTCCGAGTGCTGACTGCAGTGGAAGGCAATCACAGGCACACTGGGAGTGACTCTTGCAGGTTTCAATAGTAACAAAACTGGGTGGGTTTAGCAGAAAGTATGCTTTATGTATGAACCTTGTGCTCTACGCCCGATCTGCAACCTGTTTGAACAATGTCCTTTTTGTGACCTGACAAGTTAGAAGTTCCTCCTCGTGACTGGGGCAGGTACACAAGGCAAGTAAGTGGCCAAAGTGCTGCATCCCTTCCTGAGCACTGTGCAAACTGTCCTGCTCTCCTGCCAGCTTATTTGGGTCCCCTAATGGAACCTGAGCAGCTCTGGGAGCTGGACCAACACAGGGGCAGCTCAGCAGGAGAGAGATTCAACTTTTATAAAGGAGATCTCAGTATAGATAGGAAGTTCCAAATCTTGGAACACAGATTTGCTAAGAGGAGCTCAGACAGCACCAACTTCCACCTCCTTGTAGCTACGGCACAACTGCAGATTCCTCTCCCGATGCACTAAGATCTTCCTATACACTTTATGTTCTGCTTTCCAAATGGGATGTTCTCCTTTGCTCTCAAAAAATAAATTTAACTCTTATCCTATTTTAATTTTGCACTGCTATCATTTCATGAATATATAAAAAATCCAAATAATTACTGTCAGAAAACGCAGTCTCAACTGTGGGTGATGTGCAGCATTGCAGTGCATACACACATCCATACAGCCCTCCCAGACCCAAATCTGGAGCCTGAGCACCACCGTCTTCCAAGGAGGCAAGCAGAACAACAACGAAGTCATAGAGCAGTAAAACTGAAGCAGAAAAAGGACAACAGAATCGCAGAATGCACCAGAAAGAGACACAGAACCCACTACTCCTGCCTCTCAGCCCCCGCTTACAATGCTGGGGATCTGTACAAATGCAGAGCTCTGAATGTCGAGCCCAGCCCAGCACCTGCACCACGAGCTGCCTGTACTGCAGCACCCACACTGCTAAACTAAAGAGGAGCCACTCGGATCTGCAGCCCTGCACAGCGCTGTGCTTCTGCCCACACGGCGCAGGGCTGCTCCCCAGGAACCGGGCGTGCAGTACGACAAGGGCATTTTCCATCATGTGCTGCAGAAACTGACAGTTTTAAAGGGATTAGAAATGGTTCTGATTTCTATGCACACTGCCCACTCGGAAGTAATTAATCCACCAGCACTGCTCTCAGCCTCAGCACCTCTGAGCACACAGGACTGAAAATGAGAGAGGCAGCGCACAGGTGGGTTAAGGTCATGAAGGAACAGCACACAGAGAGGTCAGGAGCCAACAGTCATTTCAAGTGATTTCACATTTGTTTTTACTTAGCATTTATCTCAGTAGAAAGATTTAATATTCCTTTAAAATTAAAACAATTATTATATATTTTTCAGGTGCTGCAAGATTTTGGAGAAAAGATTTCTTCTGTCTTTCTGCTTCATGTTTCTTTTTGCCCCGCGAGGTAACAGCTATGATTCTTGCCTCTATTAAAGTAATGCAAATTAACAGCATCATTAAATCATAACAGTCACTGCACAGGGAACCAGAGTTATGAATGTGTCGTTTCATGTATTTATGATTTAAGCACATTTACAGGGCACTGATTTTAAGACTCTGGAGAGCAATGAGCACTTGGGAGCAGATCAAACTTAACTGTGACACAAAACTCTTTCTGAACCACAGCAGAAAAGCTAGAGAAGAGAGACATGTACCTCATAATTTGAGAGGAAATCTAGTAATTTTGATCGAGACGAGATGTAGAGTAGTGGTGTCATCACCCGGCGAACAAACTTTTCAATATAAACAGCACTCATTGGGCCTTTGTATTCAATTGGTCCAAAACTAGTACCAAAAAAAATAATAGAACATTAAGACTGAAATTCACAGTAGAGTCCCTGCTGGAGGTGGCAGAGGTGGAGTTCTACAGACAGCAAGCTCAGCTCTTGGGATTGCTCTCTGTGCTCATCATCCATGGTGCCTGCAGCTGGCAGAGCTGCGTTACATTGACACTACAGCATCCCTGAGGCACAGCACAGCATCCCCAGCTGAAGTCACAGCGACAGCACGGCGCCTGCGTGCAGATGTGATGTGTTGGTGGGGACGGAGCTTCTGAGTTCCATTAACGACGCTGGTAAAAGCCAGGAATTAATTAAATGTTCCTATCCATATAGTTCTGCTTGATCTATTTGAAGTAAGTACACCACAGAATATAGATCTGAAAAGCTGCTACTGCTTTCCCTTTCTTTTCCTTTTTAAATCTTGAGACTGAAAAGATGCAAGGGTTCTTCACATGAATGTTTCCAAGTATCATTCAGTAAAGCCAGGACCAACCCCGCCATGCTGCTGCTGGGCAGCCGGGGTGACCTGCAGCCCCTCCCCGCAGCGACGACAGCAGAGTGGCCGCAGGGCTGCGGTGCCAGACCTCCTCCTCCGCCCCCCTGGGTTCACCCAACGGCTGAGGTTGGAGGGAACCTCGATGATCACCCAGCCCAGCCCCCTTGCTGCAGGCAAGGTTGCCCTACACCAGATCAGGTGGCCCAGGATCCCATCCAGCCTGGCCCTGAATGCCTCTAGGGATGGGGCAGCCTGTGTCACAGCCTCACCGTCCTCTGAGTAAGGGGTTCCCTCCTAACATCTAACCTAAATCTCCCCTGTTTTAGATTAAAGGCATTCCCCCTTGCTCTATCACTATCAGACCGTGTAAAAAGTGTCAGTCACCTCCTGTTTATACGCTCCCTTCAAGTACTGAAAGGTCACAATGACGTCTCCCCGCAGCCTTCCCTTCTCCAAGCCAAACAACCCCAGCTCCCCCAGCCTTTCCTCACAGGAGAGGTGCTCCAGCCCTCTCGGCACCTCTGTGCCTCCTCTGAACATGCTCCAGCAACTCTGCATCCCTCCTGTTCTGAGGCCCCAGGCCTGGGCACAGTGGGGCCCCACCGGGCAGAGCAGAGGATGACAATGGCCACTGCTCTTTTAAATCCTACATCTCATTTACCATCTTTAGGTTGGACAAGACATCACAGTCTAAAATGAAATAAAAAAACAAGAGCACAAAGGATTAATCCATTCCCACTAGTCCACTGAAAAATTTAACATCATGCATTCTGTAATACAGCTTATGCATATACATGCTAAAAGAAAAAAAAAATAAAAATAATTCAAGCTTGCACTGAGATACTTATGTGCAAATGTTCTGGAATGGTTTTTTAGAGCTTCCTGGATTAATCTATATCTTATGTTGGTATATCATAAGTCTTTGCCTTAACAGCAACACATACTGCTTCCTCTCACGTGCAGTGAACAATGCCCAGGAGTTTGATATCTCAGGCAGGAGGGAGTTATTGCCCTCTGAGGGCTTCATAGGGTTATCAACATGGATCTACATCTCACTGTTGCAACTCTGTTTAAAGATACAGCAATCAGTTACTGATAATACCCAAGTGTATTCATCTAATGTGTTATTTCAAAATAAAGTAATTCTAACTTAATGCATGTCCAAGTAAGATTCTGCACAAATGTATTTGTTGGGTTTTTTCTTTGTTTGCTTTTATTAGGGTTTGAATTCTTCCAGTACCATTCAAAGTTCAGCTGACAAGGATTAGGATTGTTCATCCTCAGCACAAATCCCCAAACTAAGTACAGTCTGCTTCTGTAATGAGAGAGCTGCAAAAATGCCACTGAGAAACTACGCTGCACCCAGCTCTGCTGTACCCAGTACTGGAAAAACATTACTTTCTGCTCCACACAAAAAGAATGCATACATACAAACACTAAAAAAAAACAAAAGTGAGGCTACAGAATACTGTACAGTGTTACTCAAACATCCGGGGCATAAGAAAGGAATGTACAATTCAGATTCAGAAGAATGTCTTCACTGCACTGCTCGATTTCAACATGCACCTAAATTCCATTCCTAAACACGACTGCTGCCAAAAATTGGGACCAATGAATAGAATCCACCTACAGAGCAAAGAGGAAACTAAAATAAAAACATAAATCTGAATAATTTACATTTCACTGGAGAGAGAGCTTCCAGGAGATGCATGTGCAATACCAATTTTCCTTAGGGATGAAAACTTGAGCAGCACAACACTTAATGGACAGGTACAGCCCTTCTCAGTAGCACTGTCAGCTTCACCCAGAATCCCCCCTTTTTCAGCTGTCTTTTAACTGTAGACAAGGAACTTTGAAAACACAACGTTTTTACGAAGGTGCTCCAAAAGTAATGCCTCCTTTTTTATTGTGTTGGCTGATGATATGAGAGGCAGATGTTGAAAGAGTTTTGTAGCTGAGAACTTGCTCTATCACACACACTGTTGTGCTCTTTGCAACAGCCATAGTTTCCATGGAAATAAGTAGGAGGCATTACTTTTGGAGCAACTCACGTACAATACTCCTGCTTTGCAAGGTGCCAACTAGACAAACAGACTCCACATGAAGGTCTTACCTGCGGTGGTATAAGTGTATGACAGGAAAATAAAAGAAATGCTTCTGCTTCCTACATTTCCCCTGGTTCCACCAGCAATTAATAGCAACAAACAGCACCTGCAAAGCAGATAAAAGTTCACAGCTAACAGCAAAGTACATTCCTGTAACTTTCTTTATCTAGTTTGCTTTTTACCCCCAATGCATTCCACCTGTTATTTTCAGCACCTTCTCAAAGCAGTATTTCATACCCCCTCCTCTTAATTCTATCACTTTCTTTCCTTCCTCCCCAACCCTCCCTTTTTTGTTTAAAATCTTTTTGTTGTCATTTCTTTGCACAGCAATATTTCATGGTCACTTTTCCTTCTGGTTTTTAAGCTTCCTAATCTAAATCCTAGGACTGCAGGCAAACTCCCCGTAGTTTCTACCTGAAGGCACAGCAATAAATCCAGAAACACTTTACCAGACAAAAGCTGCAGAGCTCCCCATCCAGGAGCAGAAATAACACACAGATGAGCATGCATCACAGCTTTGCTCCATTCATTCAAGTGCTGTGTATGTAAAATTAAAGACGACTGGCTCAATCACTGCATGGTACAGACATGCAGGTCGTTCTGGTTCCCACGGGATGACAGGAGTTGGCCCCTCTTTGGGGACCAAAGCTCTATCAGATCACATGTAAGACTCCTGTCTTCTCTAGTTACCTGGTCTGACAATCTGCTGGCCACATGTTCTATTTCTTCTCTCACGGCGACCGACTGGCCACACCACGGCGCGTAGAAGAAATACAATGCAATCTCTGAGTCCTGACGAAGGTGATCTGCATAGTCTAACTGTCCCCGAAAAAGATCGATGACGGGAGATCTTGTGGAGAAAAAATTCACTGGAAGCTTTGCTGGCATTGTTACATCTTTCGCTCGGCTGTGGGAAGGAAATCAAGAGGGCTCAGTGAGACTGTGCAGTAATTAAAGAAGCATGCCCAAAGCCTTACCTTAGGGCTAGTGAATGTCATACAGTGACAAAACTGCAAGAATTGACACAAATTATCAGTTTCAAGAAATACCATGAAAATCTAAAGATCATCCTTTTAAACAAGTTTCCGAAATTCGCCCTGCTGTAACATGCACCATGCTCATGGGTACATTAGCCCACACTCTTCTTGCTGGGTGCTTCAGAACACAGAATTAGCAGGAAGAGTGATTGCTTTGGATTTCTTCCCTGGCCTCATCCTCTTTTAAGACCTGTACTTTAGGTAACAGCACCTAATAAGAGAGGAGACACTGGTCATACAGCTTTGTGATGCTTATATGGACAGAGATCATTACTGTAACTTACACATTGCTGTAAAGTGCTCCACACTTCTATTATTTTATACTCTGCTATGAAAAGCTGTTTTACTATGACATTTACCACCAGGTGAACGCGTACCGGTTCATTTTACCAACACCACTGATCAGAGCTGGGACCACAGACATTGCCCAGGGCATGTTTCCTTTCAGAAGATGTCAAGAAATGGGGTCTTGATTTGAAGACTATACAAGATGGGATGACAACAGATTGAGTCTCTTAAGAGAAATGACTTCGACCAGCAGCACCAAGAAACTGCTTTCTGTCACACCAGCACTCCAATGATGCAGAACGCGGCACTTCCAGCACTTTCTGGAAGTTATGGGAGTTCCTAATTTGTACCTAAGAGATAGTTATCCGTCACAGAGCGTTTAACATACAGACCAGCTCCTCACCTTCACAATTCACTGGCTCTAGCACCCACAAAAGGATGTGCTCTCACACAGGCTGCCCCAAAGCGCTGTGTTACAGACTTCTGCCTCCCCCATCGGCAGCCCTGCCAGCACAGCCGCCCCATCCCGCGGCAGGTCCCAGGGTTGGGTGGGTGGGCAGACAGACGGACGGCGCCTAATAGCTTAAGGCCGAAAAACGGGATACGAGATTGGCTCTGAACTGCAAGAAAACGGGTCAACACGACAGGCAGCGAGAGGAACGACTTAGGAACTACACCGCTGTCCTCAAGTAGGAGAAACACCCCCAACAGCTGACGACCAGAGCCGCCGAGTAACAAAGCAGCAGCTCGCCGCACCGCTGCACCCAACAGCCGCCCTCAGCGGAGCCCTGCGGCTGCGCGGCCCCGGGCAGGGAAAACCCCGGGTGCCGTCGCTCCCTGACCTTCCCAGCGAGTGCGATGCGGCCTGCGGCGAACGGAGCTCACGTCGAGCCGAGCTTCCGCCACGGCACCCGGACTCCGCCCCGGGCCGCAGAGCCCCGCAGCAGCCGCTCCCCTCCCGTTCTCCCTCGGCGCGCAGCGGCCGGCAGCGCAGCGCCACTCGCAAGGGAGAAATAAGCCGCTCCCCGGCACGGCCGGTGAAGGCCCGCGGCTTCGGATCCCCGTCTCCTCCGCCCCGCCCGCACGACCCGGCCCGGCCGGCTTCGGACGCCGCGATCGTCACGGGACGGCACCGCGTGCCACGCGCTCCTCAGCGCCCGACCGCAGAGCGGGAAAGGCGCAGGGCCAGAGCGGCGCTCCGGGCCTCGCTCGGGAGGGCGCCCCGCTCTGGGCCGCGCGGCCCCGTTCCGCCCGCCGGCCCCGGGTCCCAGCGGCTCGGTCCAGCCGCTCCCCCGCCGTTACCTGCAGGTGACTTTGAGGGCGACAAGGAAGGCGCAGCCCAGCACGATGGCGGCCCCGCACAGCAGCTCGGGTCGTCGCGCCATCCGGGCGGCGCGAGGCCGCAGCCGCGGGGCGTCCGCAGGGCCGGGCCCGGGGCCGCCGCTTAACGACATCGCCGCTGGGCGCGGCGGGGAGGGCCGCGGGACACCGGGCCGCTCCCGCTCGCACACGTCTCCCTGCCGCCCGCCCGTCAGCCGCCCGGGGCGGGACCGCCGCCCGGCGCCCGCCAACCCAGCGCCGCCACGCAGCGCCGAGCCCCGCCGAGCCCGGCAGGCGCAGGGCAGGCCGGGAGCGGCCGGCTGCGCCGCGGCGCTGAGGAGGAGCGCGGGTGCGCTGCGCTCAGCTCCTGCACGCGGCGGTGCCCGTGCGGCGATCCGGGCTCGCACCGCCGTTCCGAAGAAGGGATTCACGTTTAGTTGCGTCTGGAACGACTTCCAGTATTTTAGAGAGCACGTGCATCGAGCAGCGAAAGCGTAAAGCAGGAGAACAGTTCAGAAAGGCACGCGGTGCAGGCAGGCTGTGGCGCACGAAGTGTTTTTCAGCCCCGCGCGCCCGTCCGCCCCGCCGATCTTCGGCTCCACCACGTACACAGCACGCGGCCAACGTCATTCTTCAAGCTCCTGTAATTGTGCCAAGAAGGGTGACTAAAAGTGCTCGAGAGGAGGGAGAATCAGAAGGGGGGAAAAAAAGGCAAACAAATTGAGCACTTTTTACAAAATCTCGGTCCTAAGAAGTAACACGCAGAAAAGAGCTTTGTGTAAAGTTCTCTTTATTACAGGCAACATTAGTCCATACAATAATACACAATACTGACATACAAGTGTAATCTTTCAAAATCGTCATTTAAACAGCAAAGACCAAGAAACAATTTTAACTACTTCATTTTCAAAAATGAATACGTTTTTCCTCCCACGATCCTTTTTCAGTAAATTATATTGAAACATACAAATAGAGAAAAAATACCCATTCAACATATATTGTAGTTAAATGGTTATTTTGTTTAAAATCTTTAATAAGAAAATCCTTTTTAGCAACCTACATATAGATAAGTAGCAAACTTTGTTTTAAACAAATCTTCTCCATTACAAGATCTGAAGAATATTCATCCATCATTTTCTTAGCCCGTAACACTCTGCTTTGTAATACCTTGATACCGTGAAGTTTTTCAGCTGAAGGACTGACGCTAGGGGGCTTCCTAGACATTACAACCTCTCTCCCCCTTCTATTCCCTAACTTTCTGTCCAACAGGAGGTGAGAAAGCACATAATACTTCAGATTTTTTTCTTCACCGCTCTGCTTCATGACAGCACAGACAGGTCCACTCAATTCCCCTAAATCTACTATATTTTGCTGTTCAGGAGGAACAATATATGCCAATAAAAGCAGAAAACCTGCAGCTTTTCTGTCACATGCTTTTGATTATTGTCAATTGTTCTGGTTTATGCTTCCAGCTGGCAACGTGTATGTGTCATCTCAGTATTAGTCTAAACCTTTAAACAAAAAACTATATTTTCCAAAGTCATTATCACTGGGAGCAATCAGGTGGTCTTTTCTTGCTTTGCTGAGCTTCATTCTTAAAACTTGTCTTCGTTCTTCCCACTCATGGAGCTCAGCATTTCCATGGGCAAATTTACAGTTGTTTCCCTCAGTGCAAGTACCAGCCATATATCTGTTAGGACAGACTTTAATCAGTGTTTCTGTAGCTAATCAGTAGCACTGTGATGGCAACTGTTATATCTAGGTATTTTCCCTGTCATGTTTTTCAGATGCAAGAGATTCTTATGGACATAAAAATAATTGGAAGAATACTTCATTTTTAGTAAGATGAGACTGTTTAGCATTTGATTATACTCTTCTTTCCTAGCTGTCAAGTATTTGTGGAAGAGAAGAGATGACTGTTCTTTGTGACACCTTACCGAGTTATTTAACGCTTGACATCTTTCAATTACTTGAGGTATCAATGTAACTGATAATATGACCTTCACATTTAATTCACTAAGCTGCAGAACAACCAGTTTTAGAAATTCCATTAATTTTGTTTTGCTAACTAAATTTGGTTTTGGAGTATTCAGCATGACTCAGGAATTCATTATGTTCTAGTACTTTTCTGTTAAATGGTGAGCATACCAGTTGATATTCACTTTATATTGCATATCTGAGCTCTGTTACCGTTCTGAACACCAAATTTAGAATACTACTAAAAATGCATTAAACAGGGCACATAAACCAGCATGCAGTGCCTGCACACACCAAGTGACTTGCTTTGTATGCTGTGCAGTTTCTCAAGAGATTTGAAACATTCAAAATCTTTAACACCATATCAAATGGAAAAAGTTTATGAATGAGCAAAATTAACTTTTAACACCAGAATGCAGATTTCAAAGTTTTCAGCCTCCCAGAAAAACTGCAAAAGTGCAAAGAGATGCCAGCAGGCTTACCAAAATCTACTCAGTCAGGTAAACAGGCTGCATTTAAGGATTAAAGGAAGCAGCAAAAAGAACAACCAAAGCTGAAAAAAAACAACAGGCTGTGCCAATAAAATTTCTACCTGCCTTAAAGCTCCGATTACACTGCCCAACTAGAAACTCTTCTTGTGTTCCACGGGTAATGGAAGGCAGATGTCTAAGTAAGCTCACAAACAGTACTTTTTAAGCAAGTTTTTTTCCCTGCTACTCTAAACTTTTGGCCCTTTCTGAAGATCACACAACCATTCACTGGGTTCCACAATGAGGAAGCTTTTCACCCTCCAACTTCTAACAGCACATGTTCAAATACTGTTAATCACTTACCTTCTTGTTGAAAGATACATGCAAGAAAAGAAATATTGGAACACTGTGCTCAAACTTGCAATGGCACTAATTATTTATACCATGAAGTGGAGTTTTTCAGTTTACAACATAAATCTTAGAAAGCACATACCTATCACAAATACTAAAACATCCGGTTGGAAAGCGATACTGCCAGCAGTTCTGATCATCTTCTGTGTGGAAAACCTTCTCTTTATGCTTTTCAGAAGAAATGTGACCCTGCCACTGTTTCTCACTATTACAGTTCTTCCCACACATCCAACAGTGGAAATCCACCTGTTTAACAGCGTGTTTGAAAACAAAGCATTGAGAATTCAATTTTACAAGCACACACATGTTCCTAATCTGTTTTAAATGTTTTCTTTATGTCAGCCTGCAAATTGTTGCTTAGCTTGGATACAGTTACTTAAACAACACCTGAAGTTTATGATTTCCACTGGCTTTAGAGGATCCAAAAGAAGTGCCTCATAGTCTCAGTTAAATTGTGCATTTAGCACAGCTAGCTATGAGATAAGAGAGCAGCAGGAGAGTAAGGACAACAGCACATTACTGACTGGGGAGGAAAAAAGAAAGCACGATCTTACATTTACACCTATGATTACTTACTGTTACTTCAGCATAATCAGTTGGCATGTGAATTTGCTTCCCATTTTCTTTATTTGCCTGAGCAGCTGTATCATCTCCTTTTTCTGGTTTTTGACTTTTTAGCCATATGTCATACAACTGCTCCAAGTCTTGAACTAATGAGAGCAGAAGCTAAAATAAGTAATTAGCAATTAAGGCAAAAGTCTGAGAATACTAGATAAATGACTGAGTTTGCAAGCATAATTCAGTCCCCACCTATTTTAATAAGAAAAAAAGCAGCACATGCTATAGGCAGTTACATGGTTTAGAGATAAGAACCATGAGCAATACGAATCTCTGGCTACTCACCAAGACCTGTTTCTACCTACACAGAGGAAAGCAAAGCATTGCGTATTTCCAACAGACACACAAAGTAAAGATAACTTGGTAATCTGCTCCATGGACCGATATGCTACTTCTAACACTTTAAGAATATAATACTTTGTTATTAAAATACAACTCATCACGTCATGAATATTTAATGCAGCTATTTTTATTTAATACTATTTTTGAATACCCAGCCAGGGCTCATTCAAATAAATTAAGTGCCTTCAAGGCCTACTACAAAAAAAAGGTAGCAAAGGAAAGTTGATTAGTAAGTTATCGAGGAACAAAAAAGAAGAGCAGAGCAGTTAGATTTACAGCACTGCTTTAATTACTTTTTTTACTTACTGCTGTTCTCCTTCATGTATGTCCACATCTCTCTCTCCTCAGGACTGTGAGCAAATGAGCAGTTTCCATCATACTGACATTTCTTGCCTGAAGCAATATGATTGCACAACTAGAATATGAATTAAAAATACATTCGCCATGAATATAAAGTAAAAATGGTGATAGCAGATTTTATTAAAGTTACGTTTTCTCTCGCCTGACAGACATTTACATTACATGAAACATAAAACCATGCCTGCTTTGTAAAATGAACATAGTTTGAAATGCAAACTGTTAATTGCAAGCACCAGGCCTGCTTTTTACCTTCTATCAGATTACCACATCACACAGATGTTTGGAAGATTTCTAAGATAATCACTTAAATAATTAGAATTTAGTTAAAGCATTTTTAAGTGATCAACTTCTGCTGATGAGAGAGGGCTTCAGGAACTGAAAAGGACTAATCTCACAGGTTAAGGCTGAACTCTGGAGAAACACTTGGCATATTTCCACCAGCTCCCCTGGGAATTTCTGCAGAACTGATGAAATCAGGCCAGTTTCTGGTATTTTACAGTTACTCAGTTTTCTTAACGCAAAAGGTTATTTAGGTTACCGTACATCAAACTGCAGAGGCACTTGTTTCTTTGCAGGAAGGGGACGAATGGTCATCCACTTCTTGCGCTCGTTAGACATTACAAGCACCACGCGGCGATCTTTGGTCCACCTAGAGAAAAACAGATGCGTTCAATGAAGAGAAGCAATAGTAACCAATGTGGCTCTGGGCAGCCTGGTCTGGTGGCTGCCAGCCCTGCACACAGCAGGGGGTTGAAAGGCGATGATCACTGCGGTCCTTTTCAAGCCAGGCCATTCTATGGCTCTGGGATAACAAAAGGTACACTACTAGATCAAAGCAGTGCCAGGAAAGACTACAATGAATGTTTACTCATAAAGCCTCCATCCTTCTAGTTGGGATTTAACTGAATTTTTCTAGAAACTCTATTATGCTTCAATGTGCTTTTTAAAATTCCTTGTATGACTTCTTTCCTTGACAAAGTCACAAACTGTTCCAAAAGAGATTTTAAGCCGCTGACAAAAGGCAAAATTTTTGCTGCTGTCTTACTTACGGGTGTCTTGCCTTTGCACTGCAGTATTTTTTGTTTCTGTCTGGCTCATTAACTTGACCATTCCTCCAGCACTGACCACAAACAAACTTCATCTTCAAATTAAGTGATCCATATTTCATTTGGTTCCCAAGGATCTTACGCAAAAACAAGAACAACAACAATGAAAGTTATTGTGTATCTGCAAAGAAATCCACACATAATTATGAATTATGCCCTATGATAAAAGTTCACGACACATGTCCGTAAGCTGTGGTTACACTACATATGAACCCAGAAGCTGCTGATACATCATATTATCACTGTACAGAAGTCCAACATATTGAAAAGATAATTAATTGCCCTGTGGCAGATGCCTTTGAAATGGTACTTAGGTTTTCTGTTTCACCTATGACAAAATAAGCAAAGCAAAAAAGGAATTGTGCTGAAGAAAAGCAGGCGTTTCAAGCATAAGTGCAATATGGAAGGCTACGCTGAAAGTGTGTTTAGGGAGCATGAGAAGTAAGCAATTTCTAAGATACACTACATCATACACAGACCAAAAAAAGAATCAAAGTTGCTACAGCATCAGTTTTAAGGCAAAATGAAAATACCTGTGACCCGTGTGCACTAGCTTCCATGTTCTGCCAGTATTTCTTTGATTCTTGAACAATAGTGTCATGTGAAATACCTTCAAAGGAAAGTTAAAAGCTCATGAGCACTTAAAACTAATCTAAAATTTCAGACATGATCAAATTGCTGTGCTACCCAAGTCCCAAATGTTTATTTACGTATGTACATACACATACATGCGTATTAAGAATCTCACCTCCAAAATATAAATGTAGTACATAACCTTACATTAAAAAGACAATACAAAAGTTTCTAAATTACAGACTGTCCAACTACATAAAGATGCATCTCTGAGTATTTGTGCAAAGTAACTTCTGTAAACATATCCTCTGCCATCTCATTAGAGAGCTTGCATTTTATTACACACCACAAAAAAACACAATACCAACTGGCAGAAACTAGACTGCCTCTGCCCTCTTTAAAGAGCAAGCCCTGCTAATTAAGCTTTGTTTCAGGAAGGCCATTCTTACAGCTGTTTTGGCTAAGGTTCCTATTGGAGCTATACAGTGTTCTCACATACTGTAACAGTTATTACTGCAATTCCACGCAAACAGGGTCTATTATCTATGTTTGGATTTGAGGGTTGGTAAAATGCTTCTTCCCTGAGGTAGGATTTGTTTCCTTCCTACATCTTACGCTCTGAAGAGAAGCCTTGTGCTGAGAGCAGAGAACCAGAATCAGAACAAGATCCAGAGCTCTAACTGACTTGAGGGAAGTATGAGGGCAACACAAACACATCCCTCCAAAAATAAAACACATCCTTCTGTGACAAAACAAGTTTCCTGGAGAACCCAACCCTTACTTCGAAATAGAGATTACAGAGTAAGTATTTGCAGTGCTGGACTTCGTAGGGGCGGCGGCTAAGAACAGAAAATAACTGTTTTATTTTCACACAGAGACCTCTAAATCAGCTCAGGAGAGACAGACTGGAAATCTGCACAGAAACAGTCACCTCTTATCTCTCTCTGACGTCACAGCTGTGTGACATCTTCTGTTATCACACTGGTACAAGAATTGAGATAAACTGAGGAATAAACCACCGGCAGAAAGGGGAAAAAATGCCAGTGACATTGCACTACATGGGGACTGCCAAGCTTCCTTCCTCCTCTGCATCACAATGATCCAGCACTGCTTAAATAAAGTACAGTCATACAGAGCAAAGTAGAACAAACCAGTGACTATGCTGGGCCATAAACCCTTTATTGCCAACAGTTCATTGATTACTTTAAATTTCATAACAAGAAGATTATGAAGGGTTTTAAACTTCTGAACAAGAACAATAAGTACAGAGACATACAGTTCAAAAGACATCAGCTAGAAATAAAGTACTGAAATCTGTTATCTTCAAAGAAGCCAATAAAACCCAGCAAGAACAAAGCAAAACAAAACAGCACTCTAAATATCCCGTGTAAAGAACAACAGAAAAACTGACTAAACATATAGACTACTGAGACAGGATGCCCACCTAGAAGCATTTATTGCCTGGCTTACTACATAGGAATACCAGATCAACACTAAGCTAAACTTAGAATTCTAAGTTTAACTACAAGGAAAACAAGGTTCTTGCATGTGGGGACAGATTGGAACAATGGCATAAATAACATACACCAAGGTTTTGTTTTCTTTTTTCCCCGGTGCTCCATGAAGAAGATATTTGATCAAGATCTTCTAAACTGCGAATGCTTAAAATTAAGAAGAAATCTGGTTTGACTTGGATTTAATAATTACGAGAGACTTCAGATTTCATTTCAAGAAAAAGATGTATCAGATGATAATAAGCCGTTCTGACAGTTTTTATTATTAAAACCTTTCTAACCTTCAATAGCTAGTACACTTATCAACACTTTGTACCCTATTTACACAGCTGTTTCTCTAACGTGCTGCTACGAAAGGTTTCAGCAGACTGGAAGTCAATGCACCTTCCCCAGGTAGGTACTGCAGCAGAACAAAATGAAGAGCATTCTGTTAAACATACCTGTTTCTTTTTGCATTATCCAGACTTTAAGCTCTACCAGACTGTGAGCATAAAAGCATTTATCCTCTCTTAAGCAGCCATAGTGCACCTCGTGTCTGCACAGGTCAAGTTGACACCGAACTTGGAAAGGGCGAATTTTGGAATATTTCACCATAGTTTCTCGCAAAATGTGGACAAGGCACCTATTTAAAGAAGAGTCAGTCTTAGATATGTCTTAACATGACTTAATGTGTGGGGAAAAGATGTAAAATAACTCGCCGTTATCACGGCTTACTCAACTGCCTCTGTAACACTTACTGGAAACAGCGGTTTCCAGAAGGAAGCAGCACCTATTTATTGTTCCTAGTCTGAGTAAAGCAATTACAACTCAGCGCTCCCGCAAAACCAAGAACTTCATCTTCTACACAGCACTACTGAATCCAATCCAACTGGATCATTGGTTTCGAAGCAGCAAAGTGTATCACGTTCACTTTTAAGTATACATTCTATTTTCACACAAGAACTTATTCTTTTTTTAAAGCATCATTAAATAAAGAGTTGATGCGTCCCAGTAAAAGCTTTACTCTTACAGCTGCAGTATTTCCTCAATGTAGGGAAGTGGAGCATGAATAAAGCAATTAAAATGCTCCTACTTCCATTTCTGTCATATAACATTTTAAGTGTATGCAGTATAAAAAATCCACTAATACTGCTACGAAATCTTTTTATCTTTCGAAGAATAATTTAAGGGGCTTCTGTCACATTGCTTTGCATGAATTGAATTATTAAGACCTACGGTCTAATTCAGGTAATTAACTGCAGGTAATTAAGGTAAGCCTGTACTTGACTGACTGGGTTAAAACTCAAGAATAAGCAAATTAGACTGAAGAAAGAAGATATTCATAAAATCCTATGCAAGTTCAGCACCACACAAATAATTAAACCAATGCAGCTCACCAAGCAGACAAGCTGCTAACAAGCTCACAAAGAAGTAGGAGCTAAACACAAAGATGGATACCACTGGTTTTGAATGCATTGATAATGACTCAGCTCTCACAATTCAGTTACACAGGGCAATCCTTGTTCTCAAAGCTTGTCTTAGCCATACTGTCAAAACACTACAGTCAGTTAGCAAGGAAAAAAAATCATCAACAAGGAAGAAATGAAAAATCAATATTCAAGAATGCCCCACAATCTTTGCTTTTAATTTGAAATTCAAAGGCATGGTTATTTCAGACATACTTGTTATCTTCGAAGTCATGCATAGCAGGGTGAGAACAAGAAGATGAATTATCCTTGTTCCTTTTGCTTATTATTCTGGGTTTATGATCAAAACATTTCTGGAATAAAAAAACAAGTAATTATAGAGTATTTGTTTAAATATATTTAAAAGTATACCTCACCTTAAGTATTTTATCATAGACTTCAGCTAGTCTCTACTTCAAAGCCAGTCAGATTATTAGTGCACACACATTTCAAAATTTACAAGTCAGTCACGAGCAAAAGCATTTCTTACAGGATAACTATATTACCTATTTTTATTACATCATTAAAGATAAAGCAGCACCTCACAAAGAAACATAAAGAATCCGTGATGTTCTTGAAGAAGTCGTGACACGGTGAAGTTGATCTTTCCATTCCCTCCAAAAAGAGCTTCTCGACTAAAAGCTCCTTTGCGCTCCAGTGTCCACACGTCTATCTCCTCCTGGCAATAGGCAAACGTGCAGTGCCCTGGATATCGGCATTCCTCTTCAGCAGCAACATCTAAAATGGTAACACTGAATTTGACGCTGCTTTTACATCACTTCTATTGTAAGTCCATCTTAGAACCTTTATCAAGCAACATCTGTTGTGAAGTCTAGCCGATAGGAGCAGCACCCCATCTCACCTCAACTGATTTGTGCATCAGCCTTTCTGAGTTTTAACTTTTCAACATCTCCATCAACTATATTTCTGCATTTTAAGGCAACAATGCTGAGAACAAAGAACCTTTCCTTAAATACAGTCAGATACAGCTCTTAATTAACACACCAGTCATCTTGCTTGCATCATAAGCAGTCCATACTGCAAAAGAATATTTTCTTGCTATTGTTTTTTTGCATATTTAGCACTCGGAATACACTGCATTGAGGGCAACAGTATCCACCAAGACTGCATGACAGTCAGACCAGTTCTTTTGCAAACCTACAGGAAGCTGAAAATGCTGTCCTGCAAGTCCCTCCTAGTCCAGAGCATGTTTTTTATTGACAGAGACTAACTTGTGATTAGCAGGTGTGCACACTGACAGACCTGCTGTAGTCAGAGAGCATGATCTGTCCTCCCTCTCTCCTGCTGGCTTGCCAAAACAGAGACACGTATGCACACCAGAACTTTTGGGGGAATGTCAGAGATCAGAAGGGAACTCCTTCTTTGCCAGTCTCCATTTATCCGTACTGCATCCGTACACAACTCGCAGGAAAAGAAGGAAAAGGGAGATGGCTTAAGGGGATACAGTAAAATGAAGCAAGAATATAAAAATATCCCACTCAAAAGTAAAGTTACTCATGATGAAGAGCAGAAGTACAGCTCATGTTTTCCAAATAATCACATTGTCAAAACACAGCTTCCCTCATGACTGAGAATATACAGAACCCTGTAACTTCCCCATCTCCTCTCACATATAAAATCTCATTCAATACTTCACCGTGATAAACCTAAGAGATATTAGTTCAAGCACAAACATTAGCATTCACCATCTGTAACACACCTACCTTTACATATATAATATGGTCCCACATATTGTGTTTTTGTTGGTCTTGGACGTATTTTTTTCCATGATTTATCTTCAGAATTTTTTATTCTACCAATTAGAATATCCTTCTTACATTTATGTTCTAAATTAGGGTGGTAAGCATAATCCAGTAATTTAGGACCTGCAACAATCACGAAATGGCTTATATTCACATAAACCACAGCAAAGTTTCATAATTCCCAAGCACAGATTGGCACATACACCCAAAAGTGAAGTCCACAAACACAGTGCATGGAATCCTTAATTGCAGCAGCAAGTCTGAAGAACCACAACTCATCAGCAGCCATGTTGAGCAGAACAGAAATAAACTAAATACTTACAAAATGACCAGTTTTGGCAATAACAGCATGGAGGGAGTACTGCATTATAACCTTGTAAGTACTTTGGGACAGCTACAAATCACTACCTTTTGTCAAATTCTAAAGTATATTTTTCCATAACACTATTTTTAAACTTAATTTGCGATTTACAAGAAGTCTACACAGGTGAACTCCAAGGATCAGAAAATGGCTCACTTAACCTTCATTTTTTATTATATTAAAACAGCTACTATGTTCAGACTCAAAAACAATAGGTAAGAAGTACATGTGCCCAAAATACAAATGTCAGTCCCAAAGCTTTGTTGTTTGGGAAGGAAAAGTGTGCCTTTGCTTGCTTATACTTTCGCTTCAGGACAACATTCAAGTGAAGATTATATTACACCTAAAAGAAAGACATCCAGGAGTTAAGTTTGAAGACTAGCAACGCCCAGTGAACTTCACTCTTTGCTACTGAAGGGACTATGAAAACAAGCACGTGGCCCATTTTCCCTGGACAAGTTGATGGAACAGTATAATTTTCGGTTATATAAGCAGGAGATTCTTAAAGGCTTTGACAGAGAAACAAAGAAACAGAAGAAATAGATGTGTTGATATAAAAAAGAGAAGACAGTGAACACACAAAGTATTTCTTTCAATGTTCTACAGCTCCTGTGCCTTTAGCATGTTTCAAATCACTTCATAGGTTTTTCTTGTAAGAATAATTTCAACCTAAAAAAAGTTCTTGAAACTGCAATAGCCATCATCAAAATGCCTCAATACAATTCTCTACAAGATCCATTACTATGGAGTACTTTAATATTGACACCTGTAACTTGAAGCACAATGTCTGTTTTTTAAGATTAGTCTTAATAAAAGCTATTGCTCCTAGAATACAGCTCTTTTTAACAGCAGCAGCTCAGGCCTAAAAGATTAGTTATATTAAAGCCCAGTACAGGTTAGGATCCTTTCAGTCAATACAGTGAAGTTAATTATTACTAAGGTTTGGAAGCCTCATGATTATGATTTAGAATTAGTCTGGAAAAAAAACAATAAAACAGATGGGATGTGAAGGTTACCAGGTACTTTGAACTGCAGTTCAATTCCCCATGGCCAATCAGAGAGGGTATTGCAAGTTTTTTTAGTCTTGAGCAAAGGTGTCATTCTTCACAGTACCCTGGGCATTGGGAGGAAAGTGAATACAGAATGTGAATGTCCTTACATAGCTGACCTACAGCTTGGGGAAAGCATGTGGTGACTGGTGGTGGTTTTAGAAATCAAGAACCTAGTAGGACAACAGATAGAGACAAGAAGAAAGAAGATAAAAAGCTGTTGAAACATTCTACCAGTTCCTTAATAACACAATCATACTACATCTGCTAAGAACAAGTCAGAATTGAACGCTATTTAGAAGCCAAAAGTACTTTTATTTGTTTTATTTCACAGTGTTTTAAGAATATGTTTTTGTTTTGTATTTAAATCAACCCAGTCGGGTCCCAGCGCCCCTTACCTTTTTTAACAAAACATAACTGGCAGGCCTGTCTTAGCTCATGTGTGCCTTCTAGAGGGTTTCTTCCCGCAAGTGCTGAAGATACAGGTATACTAGCAGTTGCACTGCTAAAAACATTCGAGAAGTCATTTCTAGTTTGACCTGAAATTCCCATGTAATTTTCAGACCCAAACAAACTACTAGGGCCATTTATCTGTAGGAAGAAAGTACATTTTACTTGAGTTACTTGAGAAAGTACATTTTACATCTCATTTCATTTCTTCACCAAAAAAAGAAAAAAAAAGAAAAAAAAAGAAAAGCTTATTAAAATTATTATTCAAAGCATTAAAAAAGTTGCATGGAAAAAATCAAGTACAAACTTAAGTACGTGTCATAAAAGTGGATGCAGAGATTTCACATACACTCATTAAGACCTACGTTAAACCCTTGATGTATCAACATCTGAGCTGATGGAAAAGAGAACATTAAATACTTACAAACAATGGAGAGTTATTGCTGCTAAGTGTTGGTGTTCCATCTCTAGAAGCTGAACTTGAAAGGTCTAAAAGAAAAGTTTCAATTACTTCAGTTTCCCCAACACATCCTATTCACAAAATTATAACTCCTGAAAAGCATTAGGCATCAGAGTATCAGAGGTTTGTTTTTTAACAAGCAACACATCTTGCTGTTGTTTGCTACCCAGTTCTGCACCTTTTTTTTTTTTCTTTTTTTTTCCAAATTGTGCAAAATCCCCCTTGTAAACATCTTGGTTGAAAAATAACTAGGTAATCATTGTCAGTACAACCACCTGACTAACAGTAGCAACAGCTCTGCAGACATTTGAGAAGGAACATAAAGAGACTACTAACACTGGATAAAAAAGGTAGCTAGATAAGCAAAACTTATTTATCAAAAATACAGATATGCAAGAGAGATAAGAGGATTCTTCTATCTTTTTATTTTATTTTGTTAATTTGGCTTCATTCTTAAGAGCACATTCTGTAACACTGGTAATTAGAGATAAAATTTATTTCTTCTTTTCTAGTTCTCCACCTATTTCTTTCCATTTCACCACATAATCACCTGCAGCTTGAATACAAACATGTAATGTTGCTATCTTTTCAAACTACAGTTATACCAACCATGCTTTTAGGTCTTTTCATGTTTATTGTCACATCAACAGCAATGGTTTATGCTTTGTTAAAATAGATACATACCCTGAAGCTAACATGGCTCCTACTTAATCCTTGTTCACCCAAAACCAGTAACTTCCACAATAAATGTAAAAGAAACGAAGAGAAGGAGCTTAAAGAAATTATGCAGACCCAAAGTGAACAACAGCTTTCTTTATGAAATCTTGTGTACACCCAACACTGATAATCAGTACAGCTAAAAATGTGAGCACAGACCATATTTTCTGCACATGCTAAGCACTGCTGAGTAGCAGTAAAAATCTGTTAAACAAGGAGTCAGTCTGACTGTCTCCTAGCTCACTCTCACATCATAAGGTTAAATATTAATACTCCTTTTTTACCTCTTTTTGGGTCACTGATTGAAAAGGTGCTTAATGGTGAACAGAAATTTTCCAGTGAAGAAGCCAAAGGCTGTGAAAAGATTTCTGAAAGAGAGGGAGTAGGAACAAATCCTGTACTGACGGGCAACGTCCCCAGCAAAGAAGCAGAGAAGGGCACACTGGGAGCCACACTTCCTGCAGGAATAGGTCCCCTGGCACCTGTAGTTTGCTGTATAAAAAGAAGTTAAAAAGAAAAAAAAAAAAAAAAGAAAAAAAAAAGTTCACACAGGAAAAGAAACCACCTCAATACAATCTGTAACAGCCTTCCTTTCTTCCTTTTAAGAATGTTTTCAATAAGTTTTTGTAAACCTACAGAAAAACAACGACAAATACACTACAGTGCTGTAGAGAACTGCAGAAATCACATCTCAGTGCTTTAATGCAAGGAGTCATCTATAAGTCAAACATTTTAAAGGTTCAGTTAGCTGAACTGAAGAGGAAATTTTGAACTTTTTTTGAGTCAGAAACCTACACAGATTTTTCTAAATAAAGAGACCATAATTCAAACAGTAAGGAGTTAAGAGTTAGCACTGAAATGGAACCTGGGGCAGTACCAAATGACAGCACTGTCTGTGTAAGCCAATTTACCTTCTTCCCTCAAAGGAAAACCACGCATCCTTCCGTACACCTCTGACAGGGACATGACAGAATTTGGGAGCTTCCTTCCCTACATCTCACCTGCTGCCACAAGAAGCTCCCCTCCTTGGCTGGAGGCTGATCAAACTGTCTGCACAGAGTGGGCAATGTCTCGTCCCCAAGTGCATTCAGGTTCTATATTACATGAGGCTTCAATCTACCTCAAAAGATAGCATTTGCCATTACTGTGGCAAGTTTGCTATAATTTAACAATAATTGCAACTGAAATTTCCACAACAGATACAACAAAATGAAATGCATAAAACTTACAGTAAGAAGCCTAAGCATTTTTTATTTTAAGAAATCAGGCTCAAGACAGAACCAGTTCTGCAATCAATCTTTTTTACAGCTGTATCCATAGCTACATGAGAATTAAAAATCACAACTAATTGAAAAATTCAACATGCCACATCCTCATTTAGCAGTGTGATATTAAGGGCTCCAAATGACTGTCACAGACACAGCTCAGAGTCAGTAACCTTGCTATTAAGTTCAGCCCTTGCTGCTCATCAATCAGAACTTTCACTTTGACTGTCAGTTGAGAAGCTCTGCATGCTTTGTATGCTCTAACTCTAGAAAGGCTGTGTGATGAAGAATCACTCAAAAAACCTCAATTTTTCCAGTAATCTCTTCTAACAAATATGCAAAGTTAGCCTCACAGTGGCCTATTTCTGGTTATCTGCCATGCAAGTCTGGACAAAGCTCTGATTGCAGAACTACTGCTTGGTGCACTAGGAGACAGCAGCGCAGGTACTGCTGTCCTGCAAAGTTGTAAGCATGAGCTTGACTTTGCACAGTCCCGGGTGGGCACACCAAACATCCTCAGGTTCACAGAGGCCTCAGTTATAACAATATACACCAGTCAGACTTCAATGGTCTGCTTCGCTTTTCATGGCATTTCCTGGAAGTAATCTCTCTCCCACAGAGGCACTGTTGGTAGCACTGTTTTTCAAAGCAGTCTCCATCTACGAGCAACCTCACTCAAATCTTCTAGCACACAAATCCAATAGGATTTCCCTGGAGCTCTGCCACGTCCTGGTATCTTTACAGCCACATCTGCAAGCCCACACGTCTGAGCGGATCAACCTGACCATACACAACTACAGCTTAATGTAACCATAAAAATTAATTCACAAACAAAACAAGATCTCACTCAAAAGAAAGCAAACAAAGTTTTACCATTATGCTTTCATCTGGATCAGGCACAGAATCAAGTAACTCATCAAGTTCTTCACCAATAATTATATCTCCATCTCCACAATCCAAACATGCTTCTGGCATAGAGAAAGAAACACTTCCTCCGTTTGCCAACGTTGCAGAAGGCAAAGAAGCTTTTTCCACTTGAAGAGACATAACAGAAGATAAAGATGATATGGGTACTGATGCCACTTTAGACAATTCAGAAACAAAGGCTGATGAAGAAGCAGAAGAAACCGTATCTTGCTTCTGGTCAGATAAATCTGGAACAGAAAGACAGGAATGAGTGGAACTTTTATTCAGAAGTGTAAAAACGCCTCCCCTAACCTTTAGCCTGATGGTGTCAGGAGAGAGAGAATAGAGAAACTTGAATTGTAAAGCAAAACTACATTAAATATCTTCCAACTCATATGTACCCGTCTCTCTGTGCTCATATACTGCTCAAACTTAAAAAGACAAGAAAAGTTACAGGCTTGATATGCTCCTGAACCTCTGGCACGTTCTCCCCTCCTTATTCTTTCAAGTTTAACAGGCCAGTGAAACAATTATATTAATAGCAGTTCAGTCCTATCATGATGAGGACTGGCTCAGCACTTGAATGTGTAGTTTCACAGATAAAGATATCAGACTTTTGACACAGATCTTTCAAATGACAAGTTAAATTTTCTTTAAAAATTTTTCATAACAAATACAACTAGAGATATTACGTATCTAGTTTCCTAGTATTAGTATTCTAACATACACAAGACTCACCTAACTCAATATCTTCTACAGAAGAAGAATTCTGCAAGTGAGAAAAAACAACTCCTCTCAGTACTTTGCACAAGAGTCTTTAATATTTTTCAAACATATATACTTACAGGCAGAGAATGTAAGCCCTCAAAATTAGGTTTAATACAACTTCTAAGTTATGAAGTCCAGTGGATTTAAGGGTGAAATAATTTTTAAGATAACGCATCCCACTGCAGACTGAAATACAATTGCTGTACCACTCAAAACCTGTAACTAACCGACAAATAAAAGAGCAGTGAGCCGTTCCGGTGTTTTCCTCGTTCTATCCCAAGTCCTCCTTTACAGCTAAATTGCCTGTTTCATCTGAAAAAGTCTTTAAGATAAAGGAGAACTCTTCCTTGGTGCTACTCAGACACATTAGCTGTAGGAAGACAAACACCCATTTAGCTACTAATGAAGGTCAAATTTTGGCAAACGTAAATCTGAAGGCATTTCACCTCAGCATTCTTCACTTTCATTACTCTCCATGATATAAAATAAAAAAACACATTAGCTACATCCTTGCCTCAAGATGTTAAAAGTAAATATATTCACTGCACTAGATTTAAAGTTCCAGCTCATATTCATTCTACAGAGATAACCTGAATGATAATCTCACCTCATCTCAGTCTGCAATAAGTACATTGCAAAGCTGGATACAGAAAACAACAGAACCCTGAAGTCCAAAATAAAACGTCAAGTGCAAATGTTCACTTAATCATGGTGAAATGATGAAAGAGTTATTCCCTGCAGTTTAAAGTCAGCTTATGCTTAACAACGTGTCAAAGCTCACCTGAGTTGATATATCACTAGAAACAGAATTCGAGGGCGGCTGCAATGAAAAGACACCTTCATTAGCTACAAAACTGATATCAAGGGAAAAACTCAACATCTTTGTTAAAACTGTAACAATTTGTGAGTTAAAACCAAATCTTACCTTTGCTCTTACATATGCTTTCCTTATTTTTAATCCTAATTTTTGAGCTAGTTCTTGAGTAAGCTTAATCACACTTTCATCCTGAAAGGAATAAAATATCATAACGTACATGGATTACCATCTAGTGAAAGACAACTTTTTACATCTCAAATACTCTTTGTTCTGCAAGATCTCTACGTGCAGGATGTCTCTCAATGCACACTATACTCTCACAACCATGGGATTACAAGCTGCACTCAGAAAAATGCAGATCCTCAAGCAACATAATTTTAAGGTCTGGGAAAAAAAAAAAAAAAGCCAGAAAACAGACAGTATCCTGCTCTACTGCTTCTCTGAATAAAAAACATAGATTTTCCACAACTAGAGCAGTTCAGAGAAGATGTGGGGTGTGTACACACACACACACACACACACACACGTTTACACTATTTATGAGGTAGAGAAAGGAAAAAAAAAAACAAAACACCTCAGTATTTCGCCCTGTTATCTATCCATTTTAAAAGAAGATTCCATCAGCATGCTCATTCAAACAGGAATGCATTTCTGAGGCGAACCCCTCAATCATCCTCACACTCTGCATTTTAGTCTACAGTATGAGCAGGCTCAGAGTGCCAAATTAGACTTGCTTTAGATGAAACAGAAGTGCTGCTGGAGCACACCTGCTGTGCTCCAAAACAAAATAAAAAAGCATGGAAATCAGACTGTCAGCAGCCTCACTGCAGCCTGCAGATCCTGTTCTGCTACAGCACCCACTGCCTGCTGACACAGACGTAGCCTACAACTATGGGTCTCATTGAGCACGGCTGAGAACTACATTACTAAATGCTTGGAGAGCAAACATGCCACAATCACATGCACAAATACTAAACTTTATAATTACAGGTGCTTTTTCTCTTTAGAATACACTTCTGTCTAGAGAATCTTAAACAACAGTTAATTCAATGGTTCTATTGTTTATTGCAGCAGCTTATGGCGCTTGATCCATACAGGAATGTATTTCTTTAGGTGATCTCATTGCCTCTGCTGAGATCTGCTATCAGTCTTCACATTCAAAGTAAGCAGTAAGAACGGGAATAAAAAAAAACAATGCACCAAAACCTGCATTTAAAACAAACAAAAAAGTAATGCTCTTGATGTAAGTGCATATTTTCTGCATTAATTCTGTAGAAATAGCTACAAACAAATGCATCATTTGCCTACCTGTGGCACAGCAAGAGAACATTTTGCTACAGCATCATAAGCTGTCTTATACCTTCCCAGCTCGTTCAGTGCTTTTGCTTTCCGATAGAGTGCTCTAAAATTATTTTCATTTAACCTTAATGCTATCTCACAGTCTTCTAAAACCTTTTCATGCAGTCCCTGCGAGGGAGAGAAAAGAAAATAAGAACTAATCAGAATAATTTTTATAGTTGGAATGTAGAATTTGAGCTGTATTAGACACAGGTACTGAAACACTATGAAACATCCACCAAGGCCCCTGTACACCACACATATGAACTGCCCTAAGCCACTGACCTATGCAACTAAAAAGTTGGCTATCACTCATATAGAATCCAGTAAGAGGGATGAAGACAATTTAATTCTTTCTCAGAGCCATGTTATTGCACAGAGAAAGTGGCAGACTCAGGAGCAGTCAGCAACAGAAACAGATTAAACTACTCTTCTATCAACTTCCTGGCATGACTGTTCTGGAGGTTGGTGGCCTGCCCTGTGGTCCCTGGGGTCCCTTCCAACCCAAACCATTCCACGATTCTGCAGTTCTGGCTCTTCTGCTATTTATCTAGTATTGGTAACTACAAACATCCAGGTGACCACGCTTGTGAAAAGATGAAACAAAGCAATACCAACAAATCAACACCAACAGCTTTTCACTGCTAAACTTTCCATGCCATCACAGTGTTAGTAGGTGATTCTCAAGGAGTGATACTGTTTCAATAGAAGCTTACCATATTTGAAAAACATGCTATCCTGTTTACATGTAGCTTCTCTAAAATATCATCAGACACATGGATTTCTTCAGAATTAGCATAATCTGCTATGTTTATAGCTTCTGAATAGTGATTCAGCGAGCCCCTCCAATCACCTTCTCGATACACATCATTCCCTTCATTAAAAAGATTTCTAACAAGTTCTCGTATAAATAGCTGTAATAAAGAAAAACACTCATGAACAACAGTATTTGTTGTGTATCTTCCATATTTCCAAATACATATTTAAACAAACAGAAAAATGTATACTTGTAAATAAATGGAACAGAAATGATTTTTTTTTGTCTACAGTAGAGTTTTCTTTCCCAAGACACTCCCAAATACTCAGCATCACAACATATGCAGATGGAGCAGGCGGAAGGACTTGCAGTCATTGCTTTGTGTGTGGAACTTATCCAAGGCGTATGTATCTGTGCTCCCCGCACTGGTAGCAAACAGCAGCCACAGCAGCTGGCAAGCCAGCAGCACACAAAGGCTGCTTCCGCAAAGCAAAAGATTTTTCCAATGTAAAATGTGAACATTAACAATTTGAAGTAACGCATTCTTGAGTCCAGTGATACAATTTACTGTTGAATAAAAATACTAGAAGGATGTGTGAAAACGTAAGTCCCAAAATTATACTAAATAGTAACACATAGCATAACCAAAATCTGTTACAAGAATGTGCGACTCAAGTCCTTTATCTCACTTTGCTGCACTACCTTAAACTTCACCACATACAGCATGACATTTTATCCAATGAATGCCCAAATTCATCCCTAACACCAGCAGAGCTCATCTGAGCTGCTGAGCAACCTTCAGCTGTCCAAATATCTGAATACCTGTAGCACAGTTTATGTAGCTTCTATGCTGAGACATTTTAAAATTACCATTCATACTGTATTATTCCTTAAATAATGATTGAAAGCAAGAATAAACATACCAAAAAAAATTAAAAAAAGAAGAAACACTTCTGGAAATGCAAAAGTAATTTTATTACCTCATATTGTTCTTGTGTCCCTGGGTAGGGCAAAGTAGATCTAGAAAAAGAAATTACAAGATGCACTTATGGAACACACGGCTCACCAGACAGTCACAGCAGACAACACTGGCTCTTACTTAGAAGCAGCCTTGCTTGCTGCAGCAGGCTAAACCCAGCTGTGTTCTTCAGCCTGTACTGAACAAGGCAGGAGTGCTGCTGAGCAGATTTAATTAAACAACAGTGTTTTGCTATTACTAATGAATCATTTTCATTTAAAGCTACATAGCCAGTCTCAGCTCTCCTCTTCAAAATGTATTACAATTTTGAATGCTGAGTTTAAAAACTCGGTGCTGTTTGTTTAAAAACAATTTCCTTTTTCTTCTCCAGCATGTAGGAACAGTTTCTGTATGACAACCACCACCTTTCTATAAGCACTATAAAGTGACAAATTACCTGTCAAAAGAACACACCAATGTTAATTAAGTCATACACATAACACTGAAGGGTTTTTAAGAGTTCTTTCACGTGACACCTAACAGATTTTCTCTGGCAGAAAACAGAGGCATTTACCTCCCTTCTTTCAGGAAGAAAACCAGAAACTCCCTCCCTTCCCTTTCAGGTTAACCAAGAACCTGGTTCTAAATCAGTTTTAAAAGCGCAGGTTTTTTTTTCAATGCCTTACGTGAACAGTGAAGGAATGTGAAACTTCAGAATCTGCTTAAGTTAGTCAGGATCTTCTAGGGGAGACCTTGGCACTGATCCAAGCACAAATTAACTGCTAAGAGGCTTTTTCAAGTTAAACTTGAGCTCCAGAGAGCAGAAACACCCAGGCAGCAGCGCACAAAGCCAGCAGTCAGCAACAGCCCGTCTCAGGTGTGAGGGCCATAAGAGGAAGGGGGATTTCCGGGCACCCAAAAGGTCAGAGCCGGTTTTTCCCAAAGGCTGAAGAGGAATACCCACCCACCCCATCTGCTCTGTTTGGGAATGAAGCAGGGACTCTGGGAAGAACTAAGGGCCCTCTGACAGTACTAAATTATAGGGACTTCCTCAGAGCCGTCCGTACCCACAGACACGTACACCCACAAGAAAAGAACGTAGCACCATACTCTATAAACTGAAGTCCTTTCTTAATGTCCTGTTGTCTAGTGCTTCTTTCTTCCGACGCATTGGACATGTTATCCTGAACATCCACGTTTCGGATACACACCTCCTCAAAAAGGAAAGCAGACAGTGCAGTTAGCAGTGCTGGCCGCAGCAGCCGATGCCCGCAGCCCCACTGCTCCGCACCTCCCAGCCCATTTCTGCTGCCTGCCGCCCTGCACCACAGCAGCAGGGCTGAAGCGAGCCGCTCGCGCCGCATGCGCACGTTACTGCTCAACCAAGCTGAGCCTCAGAGCTTCCACGGGCTGCTGTAACAGCTCTGTACTTCATTTATTTCAGTATTCAGTAGAAATTACCTCAAAAGCCCAGTGTATTTATTAATAAAAAGACAAGGTGATTAGAAAACTACCGTTAGAGCCACCTCCTGAGTCTCTCGCTGCCGGCTGAGCACTGAAGGGTGCCTGGAAGCAGGAGCCCAATCCTGCCTGGGCAGACCTGCAGACATCACAGCTGGCAGAGACCACCTGCTGCATCTGTAAAAACGAATGGCTTTCATTCCACATCGCCATCCGAACATTTAAGCATCATCTCACTAGTTTGAATTGGTGATTTTTTTTCATGTCATTCATTTAATGGACTTACAATCACTTAAATTACATAGGCAGAATAGATGTGTGTAACACCCAAGAGAAAGCTGCCTGCAGCACAGTTCTGCTGCTGCCTATGGCTGCACCTCGCTGCAACGGAAGAACTGACTTCATTTTAACCAAAAGATCAGCAAGACAAACGTCCTATTCTGAAAACCCTAAGACTCTGAATAAAAAATAATGACCTTGAGAGATGTATTTTTTGGAAGAAAACTAGTTTAAGTAGGAATTTATTTCACAGCAACAATGGAAAATGAAAAGAATGAAAACAAAATGAAACACTTCTCACTGAATTGAACACATTGCCAACTGAGCAGAAAACTGCTGGATCAGATCCTTCCGTTCTCTAACTGACTTGGAACAACGTCTGCAAACACTTCTCAGCAGCCTCCAACAAGCGTACTCCCAGTTAGTGCTGTTCTACATGTACCTTAGTGCAGCACAAAGAACTGCCTCATTTTCCTAGAGTCACCAAGCAGAGGAAGGGAAGCCCCCAAAGCCTGCATCTCCCAGCCCCTCCATGGCCCCCAAGCTGCAGCAGCACTGAGCAACAGGACATGGGGATCCCCAGCAGCAGCACTGAGCATCGGCTGCAGGGCTCCCAGCAGCAGCACTGTGATGGGCTGTTCTGGCAGCACGTCTTCACGCAGGAATAACGCTCAGTAATCCACTCCCACAGCAGCAAATAACCAAATTCTTTCCTGTAACTGCTTTTCACGTGATTTTATGCATCCCCTTTTCTTCTGCAAGTTATTACTACACAGAGAGATTCTGGTACATACACAAAAGACTTAATATCAGAGAAACATTAAAGATATGCTATTGTTGGTGAAAAGAAATGTAATGTAAACGCCAAAAAGGAAATCCATCATCACCCCAATATGTTTTGTTCACTCCTTCACATTCAGGATTCTAATGAGGCTGGTAAGAAGTTCTCACACAAACCCAATCCAGCAGCAGTCTGGGCACTCACCGCCGTCAGAAACGCGGCAGCAAAATGAAATGCACTTCAGCCCCTGCACAACAACCCATCAGCAGTACCTGCCCATGAGGTCTGTGCCAACACTAAGATCGGCTTTGCTCTGCTAATTGTAAGCAATCTCAGCACTCCACCAACTCAGGTGACACGAGTCCGGTGTCGTAACAACTGCCTTTATCTATCACCTCTGGCAAAAGCAACTCACACGTTGACTCTGGAGGATGTGCAGATCCGGCTCCTGTAGCAATAATGCTGATGGAACTGTTACAAACTGGCACCACAGGGAAGAGAACAGCGAAGTGATGAACATACGCGAGCAGCGTCATTTACTATTCAAAGCACTTTTCTATTCTTCTCTACGTACTCATTTTCATCCATAAGACATTCAGGCAGAAGTTATCCTTCCTTAACATACAGTCATTTTGCCCCACTATTTGATGATTTTGCAGAAGATTTATAGCTGTCTCAGACACCACCTCCACCAGCATCTCTCCCATCCACCTCCTGTTTAGACCATCTTGTGCAACCAGAACCATGTTGGACTCAGTGACATACAAAGCAAGTAAATAACAGGATCCTGACTTTTAGTTACTCAATTTCAGAGTTCACAAAAATCACCTATTTAGCAATAGATTTTCTCCCTCATCTGAGCAGACAGAATTTAAAACAAATGTGGATGTGTACATATACATATACAAGTTAAAATATTGTTTGTATTACTATAAAAGCAAAGCCTACACTCTCGCTTTACTCTGTACAATTCAGTGAAAAGAACAACCTAAAGCAAAGGAAAAAGTATAGGATGCTAAATACAGAGCAAAAACAGATAACTCATCAGTAACTAAGGCTATAGGCAAACACACTGTTGCATTACAAGTCATTTTTCTACAACTGCTGCTGTATGACCAATTCAAAATCTGTTTAATAAATCTGACACAGCAGGAAAAGCTGCTGAAATCAAACAAGTTGAAGATCAATTTATACCACTTTACCCTCACCACAGGCTTCAATTCAATCACATCTCACAAAAGCAGAAGCAAAGGGAAAATTCACTGCTGACAGCCAGCATCACCTCTTCTGACAGACACCAGCCAGCCAGACCAACAGCAGGCAGGAAGGACAGCGAGTTTGCACCAGCTCTGGCAGACAGAAAAACCTACACTTCTCTCTTACACAAAGCTGCTTACACCTCTTGCTGGTTACCTGCTTTCCTTCCAGCACAGGGCAAAACTGCTCTTGTTTCTACACTTTGTCAGTTCTGAGGCATTCAAGCCAAGCTGTAAAAGACATCACAATACATAGGATGCACCTGGGATAATTTTTTAGGCAAAGGGGATTTGAACACAACAGATGCTGGGCCATCCTGCAAAGCAAAATGGATCTTTGGAATGTTAATTAACCAATTCACACAGAACACACAGAGAAAGTTTTGATTCAGTCTTTCTGCAGATGGAACCCAGGTGCTGGGGTTCTGAAAAGGATAAGCATGCTGTAAAACCTCGAGCCCAGCAATCACCACTATTAGGTCTCAGGTGGCACTTTTCAAAGACTCTTGAGCGGTTCAACAGTGGCAGCAAAGCACGTGAACACACATCCTGAAGACCAGCACGGTTCTGCTGCTGTCAGAGCCGAGGTGCCCTCGTGGAGCACCCACCTGCAGCTCACCCGCGGGTGCCCCTGCTGAGAGCTGAAGTCTGCAGGGTAAGGAGCAGGGCAGGGCCGAGCCTGACCTGTGCAGTGCAGAGAGCTCACTGGGAGGCGCAGAGAGAACAGAGGAAAAACACGCAACGTTATTTGGGGACAAGAGCTGCTAGCGCAGGGAGTTCGCGACCTTCAGCTGACCAAAGGCCCCGACACGGCTCCGTAATGACCGCAGCGATCACAGACGCCCACTGTAGCCCGGCCCCCAGCGCCGCACATCCACCAGCAGCGCTCCGTGTCCACCGAGCACCACGGATGCGTCCATACGGACGCGGCTCTCCGAGAGCTGGACGCGCACCATCCCGCCACGCATCACCGAGTTCACTCGCTGGGTCACAGGAATCCTAAACCGACCCTCCGTACGGCACGGAGCACACGGAAACGCCCTGTGCCTCTCTGGCGGGCGGAGAGCCGCGCGAACGGCCCGAGCGGAGCCGCCCCGGGACGGAGCGCACGGAAAGGAACGACGGCGAGCCTTCGGTCCGCTCGGCCAGAAACGAACCATGCCTGCGTCCCGGCGCCTTAAAACTTCGCTCGGCGCAGCGAAGTTGTCAAAGCCTGTCCGCGGGAGGGAAAACGCGCACAGCCGGGCCGAGTCGGCAGCGCCGACGCGAACGGCGCCCGCCCGCAGCGCCTCCCGCCGGGCCGGGGGCTCCCGCAGCCGCCTTTGTTCGCGCCGAGCGGCGGCTCCGCCATCTCCAACAGCGGAACCGGCCGGCGCCGCCCAACGCGGCAGGGGAGGGGAGGGCCGGGCCGCTCCGCCGGGAGGGGCGGGACCGGGGACGCGGCGGGGCGCGGCGCCCACCGGGGCCCGGGAGCGGGTGACGACAGCGCCCGCGGCGCGGAGAGGGGCGGGAGCGCTCCAGCCGCGCCGTAATGGGCCGCGAGAGGAAGAGGAGGAGGAGGAAGAAGAGGAGGATGAGGAGAGGCCCCACACCCGAGCCACCCCCCCGCTGAGCACGAGCGGCCCGTCCCGCCGCGCGGCCCTACCTGCTGCTCGGGCCCGCGGGAGCGCAGCGCCGCGGAAGGCGGAGCCGGGCGGCCTGGCGCGCGGCGGCGACGACAGCGACGACGACGACCACGACGGCGGCGCCTCCTCCGCTCCGCCCCCGATGCCGCTGCCGCGCGCGCCCCCTGCTGATGGGAGGCCGCAAACACGGCCCAGAGGACAGCGGGATGCGATTGGCCGGAGCGCCGGCACCGCGAGCTTTTTCATTGGCTCAGCATTCTTGTTTTGGAAACCTGCACTTTTGATTGGTGGCGGTGGGGAAAGCTTTTGGTACTGATTGGTTGAACGCTTTGCAGCCTCCCACCGCCTTCTGCTCCCGGCTGTCGGCGCGGCACGTGAGCCTCTGCGTGTTCCGGGCTGCGCGGACACTCCCGCGCCGCGGGCGGGACATGACAGCTGCCGCTGCCCGCAATAGGAGCCCTGGGCGGGGCAACGCAGGGGCTTTTAAGCCTCCCCTCAGTTCTCCCGGAAGCAGCCTGACGTAAGAAGACGACCCGCAGCAGCCATCGCGCCGAGCGACGTCATCAATCCGCTGCGGCGCGAGGGAAACGTCATTGCGTGAGGGACAGCGAGCCGCGGTCTGTTCTGCGCATGCTCACCTCCGCGCGGGGCTACCGCGCATGCGCCATGAGCTGAGCGGGCGGCAAGCCGGAACTGTGTTGTGGGGCCGGGTCGGGGTGGTGCCTGCCGAGGCGGCCTGTCAGGTCACCGGTTTTCTCCCTTTTTGGGCACCGGGATGGCCCGGCGGCGTGTACGTTGCTCGTCCGGGACGGGCGCGAAGTCCAGGACTCGTTGCGTGTTCTTCCCGTTCGTGCCGGAGCCCGACAGAACTTTCTTAAGAAACCTTTCCTGCGTAACGTGAGCGGGCGGGAGGCCGCGCTGCGCTGCCGGCATCCACGGCCAGAGCGGGAGAGGCGACGGCTGGACAGCGAGCCGTCGGTTCGGTACGCGTCTGTGGAGAGGAGCTTCGGGAAAGACCCGCGAGCGCGGACGCGAAGCCAGGGCGGTGATTTCGCCGCCGGGGCTGCAGGAAGGCGGGAGGAGAAACGGGCGGAGCGTTTGCGGCGCTGCGCGGTGAGGTCCGCCCGTCCCGCGCCGAGCTGTTGGCGCGCTGGGCGCTGTAGCACAGCGGGCGCTGCGGCGTCTCGTCCCGAGCGGCACGGCCGCGCTCGGCGTTTCCTGGCTCTCAGCCCCGCGCTGCTGCCCGGATCCCGGCGCTCACCGCCACCACAGCTCGCTGCGAGCCGCGGCGCCGGGCGCTCCGAGTGGCACGGCGTGAAGTTAAAGCCAGAGGAACGTGAGAATAACCGGGCTGTCAGAGCCGCAGGGAACGAAGCCGGTGTGCTAGAAAGACATTGCCGAACGAACCACTCGATTTGTTCACGGGCCGTCCTGTAAAGCAGCCAAGCCACAGCTGGACCTGTTAGTGCTGCTGCCAGCGTGCTTGGGAATGAATGTAGCAATGCACTGTAAATGTCCAACAAAAATACACTCTTTGTGGAAATAATACGTTTAGCTTTTATATAAATTAGGTTGGAAGTGGTAATGCAATTATCTTCCTTCATTTGCTTGAATTATTTACATGACTCAGTAGCTAACTGCTCTGAGAGCAGACTAGTAGTCACACCTCAACTACAGTCACGAGCCAACAGGTGATCATTGCTCCTGTTACAGAAACTGATCACGTTTCATTTATAATATTTATGGCAGCCTACATAAGCTGATTATTTCTGACAGATTCAATTGCTGTGGAATTATACTGAGGTGAGAAACGGAACTTGATTAGTGTGGCTTGTGAGAGAGATTAAAGTGCCCTTTTCAGGGAACTTGGAAACACCTCTGGTGCCCCTTTCTTGTGGGTGCACAAATTCTCTGGGTGTGTGGTGAAACAAATTGACACACAGGCAAAACAGTGGCTGCGTTTCAATTGAAGAACTCCCTGATCTGGTTCACCTCACAGTCATGCAAACAGTTGACAACAAAGACATGCACTTGGAACAGCGTCCTGAAATTGTCACCGCTCCACTGGAACAGACATCCAAAAAGAATGTGCAAGAGAGAAGGAGAGTTAGCAGCTTGTGCTGCAGAAATGGCAGTATCTGGGGCTGTGATGGAAACAACAGAAACCATGTAGCACTTCACTAGGCACCTTGTAAAAATCAATCTAAACGTTGTCTTACTCAGGTTCCTTACTTGTGGTAGCCTGGGATGGCACTGAACTTGTCAGAACACCTGTGGAACGGGAGAAAGATCTGCTGAAGGAACTCCACGGTTGCTGTTCCAATGCAGCAGTTAGAGCAGTAGGTTTGTTGACTGAAGCTAATCTGAGAACAAAAGCAAAAGCTCAGCATGGGCATTCTTCCCCTCCTAACCAGGTAATCCTGAATCATTCTCTGTAAGCAAGATCAAAACCCAGTACGATCGTCACTAAGTAATATTTATGTTTTCCAGCCTGATGCTTTTTGTAATTCTATCACATCTATGTAATTAGCTTCAGGTAGCTGAATCTGACTAATTGTGATTTTATTTATTTTTCTTTTTCCTGGCTGACATTTCTGTGGATACTGGAGTTGCTAACCATTACTTAGGTATTCCATGAAATCTTTAAGCCAGAGAGCTGAATCCTGCACTCCAAAAACACCCTGACTGCGCTCTGAGATGCAGTTGGTGGAATGTGCCCTTACTGCTGTGGCAGTGGCTGGCAGCGTCCTCCAAGCCCTTGTGTCACTTTTCAGACAAAGGACTCGGGCTGCAGCCTGACAACACTGTAGACTTTTGAGCAGTAGTTACAAAACCAGAAGAATCTCCCCTTCGCTGCTTTACTTACAGGTAGATGCAGTCCTTGCTGTTAATGTAAGCTATGGCTTGTGAATAATATAATAACCTGCGATTTGTGACTGAGTGCTTAATTAACAAAATAATCACAGAGTCCCTTTTTTAGATTAAATAGAGTCATGAACTAATAAAGAATTGGGACTTAAATAGGAATAAAGGCATTGGTGCAGCTCGCTTTCAAAAGTAGGGTCAGACTTCTATTTTTTTTCCTGCTAAGCTGATAAAACAAAACAGGCAAAGGGACTTCTCTTAAATTGCACAGAATGGCTTAGAAGAGGAAACAAAGCAATAGCAGGCTCATTTTTGTAATTCAAGTGTTAAAAAGTAGATCAGCTCAGAACCCCCTGAGCACGAGAATTACGCCGCTGCCAGTGGTAGTGCTGGATTGGTGGAAGCACGCTTGTTTCAGAGCATTGCTTTATCTGCAGCATCCAAAGCCCTTATCAAACACCTTCTGACATTGGGATTACAGCTCCCAGGAGCTTCTGACCTAAGCAGCTTACTGATGCATGAAGGTAACTCCTGGAATGCCTTCCCTGCAGATGTTTTGGCTTTGTTGTTTTGAAAATAGTCCTTGCTTCCTTCCCAGAGCCAGAATTCTGTCATATTTAGGTATAATGACATTGTCTCTTTCCATGAGCAGTCATTTGCAAATATAGGGTTATTCCAACCCCATGTGTATTTTGGGAAGCAATCTCTCTTCCTCGATAATTAAAACAGGAAATTTCAAAAAAGATTTGTTTAAACATCTGTAAAAACAGTCAATTTGGGGCAGACATGAATATATGTTTTAACTGCTCAAGGAAATATTCACCAAATGAAAAATGAAATAGACTTATATAGAGATCAAGATATTTCAAGGGTACGTGGAAAGCATATCTTGAAGGTATTAATTTGTCAGTCTCTTATTTCCGAGCAGCTTTAAATTTTCCTTGTTAACATTATTATAATTATTTGTTGCAGTTTTCCTAAAAGAAAAAATATCTGAACATTTCATACTATGTTATTATTTATTGTGGCTAAAAAAGCTTAAACGTACCAGTCTCGGCCCACCTAATTTGGTTGGTTATTTTGTTGTTTCCTGCTTTCTCTGAGCATTGCCTTACTCGTTCATACATTACAAAGGCACACTGGAGACTGAGCTGAGGAGAATTACACCCATTTTCTGACCTGCTTGCTAATCCGACGTTTACATCCCTGACGTAAGGAGCAAACCCATTATCATGAGCTTCAGCTGTTTACATCAGGTCTGAACTTTATCGTTTTCTTTTTTGCTCTGCTGCTCAATTGAACGATGCCAGATTGCTTCCTTCAGCACTCACAGAACATCCCTGCAGCTGCTGTTAGTGCAGCTCCCCAGAAGGGCCTCGCTGAAGGGGTAACACATGCTCCAGGTGCATCCAAGCTAGAGGCCTTTGTTCCATTCACTGTCTGTATTGTCCTGCCTGTTTCCTTGGCTTTATACGTAGGGATTTACAACAACAGATGCTTAATACTAGAGAACTATAATGTAACTGA